GCACAGCGGAGAAATAAAAGCAACAGCTTTATTGAGTCAAAGTTGTGCTTCGGTCCAGGCGGCGCGTTCCACTGTGTGAAGACAGTTTCAATTCTGCTCAGACATGAAACATAGAAAACAAACCTTAAACCCACTGAAAGCAAAACAAGGACACTATGTGGCAAATCCACTTTGCTTGACAACCATTTTCTGACGGATTCCCTTCATGGAAGAGGAGTCGCCTCCCGCGCTTCCCGCTGAGCTGCTCGGAAACCCGTGAGCCGCCACGTATTTGCGGTACGCCTCTCGGATGATGCGGAAGGCTCGCGCGTTGGCGTAGGGAATGTCCGTGACCGGGTCCCGGTACAGCGCCGCCTTGTGCGTGACGGGGCAGATCTCCTGAATGGGAATCTGAGGGCCGGGCTGGGCGGCGGGAGGGAAGACTGCCTCGAAGGCTTCGTCGTCGCTGAACGTTATGTAAGTCCGGGAGCACAGTCCTCCGGTGGGCTGCTGGGACGGCGTGGTGGGATTCTGCGGCGCCGTCTGAGAGACATCCTGATCCAGCCTGTGGAAAACGAGATTACATTGATTAGAATCAATAGATGCTGTATGCACTTTATTTATAAAGACTAGGATTTACTTTAATTTTTTTTTTTTTTTATCTCTTGCTTTGATGAAATCCCAACAGATACCTCTACAGGAGATTTAAAAAAATAAAAAAAAAGAAAAAAGAATTAAATCTTCTTACTACATTGCATAACAGCTAAACATGATATAATGTTTTGGCATACGTTAATCTAGAAGAGATTAAATATTTATGGAGCAGATTATACTTGATGCAGACAAATAAATGCATATATTAAAAAGGAGTCGCCTTTATGTCTGCAAATCCACTTCAGAGGTCATCAGAGTCAGACTGATGGCCACACTTACCCCTCCACGTCGACATTTTCTTCTTTAAGGAGCGGGTGAGAGACCAGGGGCATCAGGACCGAATGGTAGCGGATGGTCGGCCCCTCGAAGCGACGCTTCTTGTGGACCTGTTTCTTCTTGTCTGCTTCTAGACGCTCGTAGTTCTCTACAATGAGAAACCGGAAACACTTTAGGATTCGGACTGTAGGCAAAACGCCTGAGAAAATGAGTTTGTTGGGTGGAAGAAAAACATTTAGTTTATAACAAATATGCATCACAAACAGGGATCGCAGGGAGCTTAAGAGGACTGTGAAACAAAGCCCACTCAAGAGTCAGGGGGAAATTTACCAGGCTGGACTGTAGTTACGTTAAAAGCCACCACAACAGCGTATCTAGAGCTTGGACTAAAACCGTTGAGCCAGACATGAGTCTGACAATATGAGCTCATGAGAAAAAGGACCAAACTGTTGCTCAGTGGTCCAAGGAACTATTTTCAGAAAAAAAGTAAAGTTCAATGTAGCATTTTGAATATTTGCTCTTATTAAAGTCCAGAGCAGATTGGTAGGTTTATATAAGCTGATGCTTCAGCCTTTACTGTTCGTCTGAATATACTTCATATCTTTATTTTAAGAAGACTTTTATTTTTTTTTTTATTCAAGAACTATCACTCCTTTTGTCGAATCATATTATTTTAATTCACTTCATTTCTAGCAGGGAAAGTACTGAATTTAACATTTTCATCAACTGTAAATAATAATCATCAAAATTAACAGATGTAAAGACTTTAATTTTATGTCACTTTGTGTGCCATAAATGTGTAGGACTTTCACTTTTTAAAGTTAATTATTGGAAGAAATTTACTTTCACTTAAATTCTCATTTACTGAGATGCACATGGAGCATTTGCTTCAATGCAACACAAAGGAATATTTCAATATAATGTATTAAGCAGCGTCTCTGCTGTCATTATTTTCATCTATTCGCATTGCTGCTCCTGCAGAGTTTGAAAAGGTTCTCACCCAGCGACCGAATGTTGACCTCAGCTGTGATTTTAGCCTCTGCCAGCAGCTCCTCCTGGGTCAAAGGTCGGTCCCGGTGAGCGCCTCTCCGTCTCCTAGGAGCATCCTGACGCTCCTGTAGGCGAAGGTTGGTCTTCCTGGTGTGTTCACTGGTGGACTGTCGCACCGATTTCCGAGCTACAGAACACCAGAGACATCATTTAATTACAAACCCAAAACTGACCCATTGAAGCAATTCTCATACAATAATCAGGTGCTTATTATAATTATTTGCGGAATTATTACTTTCTGGGATTATTTACTAAAATAACTTGGATTATTAAACATAATTTGAGGGGAAGAAAATCATTTTTGCAACTTACGTTCAGCAAAATCGTGAAATTCTTGAGGAATCCTCCTTTTGAGCTCCACTTTGGTTTTCTCTGTCCTCTTCTGCTCCTCATTGGGTTTTTTAGGTTTGGGTTTTGCCACCTTTATAGGTTCCTTGGAATAAATATATACCATACTAATTACTAACACCCAGATGTAAAACAGAACACACTCCATATCTGCTTGCGGTTTCACCTGTATATAGTGGAGAAGATGTCCCTGCAGATGATAGTGATGGCTGATAGTGGCATTTGCGCCATGCTGTTAAAATCCTGATCTAGAGCAGGCTCCTCATTTTGTTGCACTAGTGCCTGTTTTCTATATACTCCTATTTTTTTTCACAGCAATCTGTTGAAGATCTCAAAGAGATGCTGTAACATTTGGTGGAATCTCATTCGTAATGGACCACAATGAAATTATAGTTAATTTAATTAATCACATGAGCAACACATATACATGAGGCAAAAAATACTGTTTTATATTCAACTTATTCTTTTAGACTATGTTAGTGCTCGTAAAAATGTGAGGAGAAATGTTTGTTTTGAAAATGCTTTCAGAATGTTTAATTTGTAACCAACTTAAATGGCTTACAGGCTTAACGCTGAAAGCTTCTAAAATACCTTGTAAGCTTTTGTGACGACCCGACTCTTCCTCCGTGGAGCATCTTCCTCCTGGTCGCTGTCGGGCTCCTCACCCTCGTCGATATCGAAGTCGCTGTCCACCTCATCCTCTGTGTCCGAGTGCTCTCCGTGATATTCATCATCTCCCGATTCCTGAGGGGCAAACAAATGGGGCCCTTCACATAACATGATGAGAAGTGATGGATGAGAATTTAAAATAACGTTTCTCGATCAGGTTAGTTAAGCTTCTCCAAGGTTTAAGGCGATGGCACAATTAAAATGTGGTCAAAAGTAATGTTCAATAAATGATTAGCAAAGGAAAAAACAACAGATTTTCAATAAGCAACTCATGATTCATAAATCATGAAAAGCATTGTTGTTTAAACACTGATGTCTGCGCTGCTATAACTTTATGTACAAATAAATTATTGACTATCTTCATACATTCATGAGGCTCAAAACTAGTTAAAATTTATACTTTCATGTTTTTATGCTCCATCTTGCATATCTGTTTAATTATCTGTGGAAATAAATGTTATTTATATAAACAGACTATGAATCAGTTGTTACTTTCCCTATAGTCTCTTACACTCTCATATAGGAAGGAAACAAAATTAGTTGCATTTGTTTCAAACACAAACTATTTTAAAAGTGCCTCAGTTAGATGTTTACTTCCCGTAACTGGGTACTTCTAAACTATGATGTATTTATCTCTTTTTTTTTTTTCTTTTTTTGGTATAATTGCTTACATCGTTGAAGCCTCCGTATGTCGTTTTGTAGAACTCATCCTCTTCTTCAGCGTCCAGGAGTTTGGACATGCGGTTTCCCGCAGTCTTCCTCGGTTCGCGTCCAACTGCCAGGCTCATAGCTCCGAGCAATGCTAACCCACCTTAGCTTCTGTTTGTGCTGCTTGCTAACACACAGTGCGGTCGTTTTGCTTTGATAAACTACACTAATCTTTTTGTGGCCATGTTTATTTTTATGATATACTACCACCCTACGTCCACCTCACCAAATATTATATTATATTCGATTTATTCAATAGACAAACTCTTTCGAACAGGATGCTAACTGCTAACCTCAACCGTAGTAGCAGAAACGTTTTACTTCCGGGACACTCTGTGTACGTCAGGCCTACCGGATCATGGAATTTTCAAAATAAAGGAACTTTGGACCTTGCTGATTTATTTTCTAATTCAAAATATTAGAATATGCGCTACGACGAGGCTCGTTCGTCAAATAAACAAATAAAACTTCTAAGCAGTTAGTAAGCATACTTTGTAGTGGAACGTTTACATGTCTTTAAATGTCTTTATCATAGTAAATATAAATGTGCTATAAATATCTTCAGTACTGTTTTCGTATAATAGCGGATAATCATCATAATAGACAGAAATAAAGACTTAAAGTTGTCAGTTTGTGTGTAATTAATCTATATAAAATGTTTAATTTAGTAAAATATTTATTAAAATAAATGTATACTTTTCAATAATGTTTTGATTTGTTGAATGGGTCTGTTCTGACGTTGTGTTGCGACTAAAATGATATGAAAATGTAAATGCAGTAGTTTCATGATTGATTCCCTTTATTACCTTAGTAAGTGTAATAAATAAAGTCACTGTGGCTTTGAATATCAAAAGAGAAATATTAAAAAAAACAATTTATGCCATTTGCATCTTTGCAGTTTTTTGTAACTTAAAAACTTGCACAGCAGGTTACCTATTTAAATCTAACCCCATGGTATCCAGAAGTTTAAAAATATTGCCAGATGAGATTTATTTACTTATTTACTGTGCTGAACTCCAAAACGTTCGCTGCAAAATATCTTATGAAAATGTTGAAATAAAAATGTACATTTTTTATAATATTTACTGTTCATTCAACCTTCACTGCAAGATACTTTTTTTAGCTCCTCTGTTCTGGAGGCGTCTGTTGAACGTTACTCTGGAAACAACTCGCCTCTTCTCTCTAAGCCCTTTGCTCGACACTGTCAGAGTTACTGTATTGTCATGGCAACAACATCACTTTTCCAACATCAGAAGAAACAAAAGCTGCCAGGAATATGGGCTGTGGTTGTGGTGGTAAATGAAAAGCATCACCAGTCAGTTGTTAAAAGCTTTATTTTCACAAACACATGTACGTCATTAACGAAGCGTTTCTGTCTTCACAGCATGTGCAACTAGCTCCACTCTCTGGCGGATGCCTCTGATCACTGCTGTAGTAAACATGTCCTGAAAATGGGAGCAGAAATTGAAAGTTGCAAGCTCAGAGCCGATGCAGAGCAAAGCAACGTCTTCTTTCCCACAGTACTCACTCTGAAACTCAAATGTCCATCAGTGGAAATAGACCCAAATCAATATTTTTCAATGTAGAGTCATTGCAATTCATGCAGGTATTAAAAAGAAATATTGTTCCATAAACATGTCGAATAATGTACAATGCATGTGACAATATTTAAAAAAACAAACCGTAATCATTGAGAAATACCATAACCTTAATATAAGGTTATCCAAGATCTAAAAAGAATCACAAGTTACATTATTGGCCATTATATCCCTCCATTAAAGAACAGGCAAAAACACAAGTAAGCAAACTATAGTGTTAGTTAATCTGGCAAGTCTATTCTCTTGTCGTTTCTTTTCCTTCTTTGACAGCCTATATAATTATTTGGTAAATAGTAAATATGTGTGAAAAACCTTAAAAATTTCTTATAAATTTCTCTTACTGCAGCACCATTTCACAGTTCCAGTTCTAAATGTTTAACTTTGACTATAAGTATTTGTATGATTAGGCACAGTTTTGTAGCCATTTTCCTGACTTATTAATATTAACATAAGTGATTCATTTGAATGACATGTTTCCCTGTGTTTCCCATTTTTAAAGGCAGCTAAGACAAATCCACATCTGTTTTATAGCATATTCTTACAAACAGAATTCATAGATGAGAAGTTAATCAGCATTATTAAATTTTTATAATTCTGAAAAGGTAAGTAAGGCATACTTTACATAAGTATCCTTTAAGTAAAACATACTTAAAGGATGCTTTAAGAAAAGGATGCATTAAAAGACTTGCTGTTCATTTTATAGTAGTTGCATAAAATACACAAACTGCAGGATCCAGTGATACGTGAGAATCAACTAAAATGGCTCTTTAACAGCTGAAACCAGAAGTTTACTTACTCTGAATAAAAAGACTATTTTCTGTCTCACTGTCTGGAGTTAAATCAGACCAAACATTGTTTGTTTGAGGTCAGTTAGAATGAGAAAAATGATGTCTACGGGCTAAAAAACTGCAATATGTCATTTCTTGCATTCATTAAACTTGTCAGACACTGCTAAAAGTACCTGGCAGTTAGTACAAGGTAATCATTCCTTACATTAAATCCAAACATTTTAGGTAGTCAAACGCATTTTATTTGTTCTCATCCTGCCATGCTTTATGCTAAATATTTTTTTTCGGACTCATATGAGTTTCATGGTGAACCTGCTCGTCTCCATGTAGTTTGACGTCCCCGTGTTGCTGTTGGACATGGCGCTGCGTGGCACATAGGCGATCGTTGCTGTGTGCTTGATTTGCCCCTTTCCTTTGCTCCAGAAGAACATGAAAACGAAGCACACCGACACTGAGCCGAAGAATGAGACGAATCCGATGGTTGCTGCTATCAGAAGAGTCTTCACATCAAACGGGAGCTTCTCATCTCCATCCACTCCAGGGGGAGCGGAAGGAAAGGCGGGCCAGCCTTTAAGACGATAGTGTTTTTTAGGAGATGATGGCAAGGCTTGGACATGAAGGCTGACGCGCAGGCTTTCATTTCCCGCTGCATTGGACGCCACGCAGATATAAGTGCCGCTATCATGTGGCTGAGCGTAGCGCACCTCCAGGGAGCCGTTGGAGAGGGCCCGTATCCTGCCAACAGGCGAAACCTGCCTTAGCTGGGGATTAAGCCAGCTGACAGATGGCTGGGGGTCACCTTCTGAGCTGCAGTGAAACACCACAGAGTGTCCTTGATTCACTCTCACATCTTGGGGCCTCCGGTCCACAATCCGAGCCTGCCGGCAGGTGAGCAGGCTCGGTAGTTCGTCATCGGAGAACTCCAAAAAATTCCAGCCCTGCAGCTGAGCGGAAGTCATGCAGGTCGGCAGAAACCCGCCAAAGTTCACATAGGGCCGCCTTCGAGCCACCCAAAGCAGGCGGCAGTCACATGTGAGAGGGTTGTTGTCGAGCCCCAGGCTTTTTAAGGTGACCACTGAATGGAAAGACCCTGCCTCGAGAGTAGTGAGAAGATTTTGTGAAACATTCAGCACACTTAAATATCCCAAACCTTTAAATGCTCCAGTTTCGATGCTTGCCAGTGAGCCACCGACGAGATGAAACTCTTGGAGCCGGAGTAAGTCTCCAAGCAGGTTCCCATGGATGTAGGTAATAGGGTTGAAAGAAAGGTCAATGGACACGAGGTAAACAAGGTGATGCAAAGCAGTGTATGGAACCTCTCTAAGGTTGCAGTGCTTGATGGATAAGGACGTAAGATTGAGGCCGAACAGACTGTTTCCTGACAGAGTCTCCAGCCTGGGGAAATATGCAACGACGAGCTCTTTTAGGTGCAGCAGAGGGTAGAAAGAGTAATTTGGCAGTAAGTTGAGATCCAGCTGGTGAATCTGAAGGCTTTTTAACCCACTCAGCTGAGTGAGCGCCTTGGTTGGCACAGCAGTGAGGTTAGAGCCGTCAAGATCCAGCCTCTGTAGGCTACTCAATCCAGCGAAGGCTTGATTAGATATAAACACAAAGTCGTTCTTGTCTGCTAGGAAAACCTGCAGAGATCCTAAGTCTGTGAAAGTAAAGTCTAAGAGGACAAGAATCTTATTGCTGCTTATATCTAGCAACTGCAAGTTCATCAAACCGGCAAACACTCCCACAGAGATAATCCTGAGGTGATTGCGAGAAAGACGCAGCGTGAGCAGATTCTGCAGGCCAATGAAGGCTTCCACTTCAACCAACACCAATAGATTGTCACTTAAATCGAGGTGTAAAAGCTGAGTTAGTTTGTGAAACTGCTGATTCACCAGAGTCTTGATCGTGTTGTGGGTTAGGTTGAGCAGCTCGGCATCTTGGGGAAGACCGTCAGGCACGGCACTGAACTGAGCACCGGAGCAGTTTGCCTCCAGAGCAGCGGCGTTGCAGCGACAGGATGGTGGACACAGCCAGAGGGATTCGGACAGCAGCGCCACCCCTGCAGCCAGCAGGTACACAGCCCTCCAGTACAAACACAGGTGGGCTGCAGTCCCCTTAAACATCTGGAGACCTGCCTGTATGTGAGAGGAAAAGACAGTGACACCTGTTTAATTCATGTCAGAATGAAAATACATCTTCTTTACCCTTTAAGGTGTCGGAGACGAGATATTGATAATTTCTTCGTGACTAAAAAAAGAAATTATGTAAAAGACGTGTAAATAAGGGTCACTAAGTTTATTTTTTTTCCAAATTTCCACAATTTTTCTGGTATATTTAAGCACAATACTGATCTTTAATCTCTGACAACTAACTTTTTACACTAAATAGGGACTACAGTCAATTTAGATTTTTCTTGAAGACTTACAAAGCTGTGGAAAAACTTCTTGTCACCTTATGGATTTCTTGTGCTTCTGCTTTCCGTCAAAGTAAATGTCACATTTCTGTTTTAAATTATCAAACTAATTTTACATAAAACAAATATAACTGCCAAAAAAAAACATTTAAAACTGATTCTAATTATTAAACTAAACTACCGAAACATTCTAATCTGACTCACCCATCCCATGTTAAGATTAGCACAAACATAGTGAAGATCTTGGCTAATATTCTGTGAACTGACAAAAAAAAGGGGGGATTGGAGGCATCCTGTTATATCTGATGTAAAACAAACACATCATTTAAAGATAAAAAAAAAGCCACTCCAACAGACTAGCATGGTAGTTGCGGTATGATGATCAGGGGGTGTTTTGCTGATTCAGGATCTCATTCATGTTTGATGGCTGAAATCCTGAAGGAATATGTGCGGACATCAGTTTGTGATCTTCAGCTCAACCAGATTCTGTTTATGCTGCAAGAAAATGACCCAGAGTACAAATGCAAGTCTGACCCTGAATGGTTCAAAACATAAGCAAAACAACAAAATGAAGATTTTGTTGTCGTCTCAATTGGCCGAGACGTTGTTGGGGCTTCAGTCGTTCAGAGCTGCTGTGGTATTATGTAAAAAAGGTGATTCATCCTTAAAACTGTGGTTGCCAGTTTTGCTGAATCTAAGTAAGTTGGCCAAAATTCCTCCACAACGTTAAAATGACTAATTTACAAACATGCAGTCTTGAGGGTTAGGAGGGTTTCTTACCCATTGATATATCTCATCATTATTTGAAATCTCTTTTGTTCCAACTCTGTTTATTTTCATCAAATATTGAAGTTTGGTTCATGATCTGAAACATGCAATGGGCAGAAAGGCAAGAAGGAGGGGAACATTTAGGATGGGGGGTGAATTTAACAGCACTGTGTTTATGAAGTCAGCTTTATTAAATTACAAGCAGGAAACAAACCAGAAAGAAATAAAGAAGAACTCAAGATTCCTGCAAAGTACTGCATGATCTTTCCATGCATGTACCAACAGTAAGATTTTATAGGAAGCTGCTACTTTGATCATCATAACACATTCAACAAGAAAATAAAGCACTTCATGCTGAGAGTGACACATTTTATGTTTGTCATTAATTAATCACTGAAAAACGCAGGTAATTTTACTCTTAAAAACCCTTTGACAGCTGAGGGGTATTGAAACAGTTTTCCTGTTTACCTTCGGTCCTTAAGGAGCTGCGGTTAAAAAGAAGTAGAAGACAAAAGAGTAAAATGAAAAGTGGAGATATATTATGCATTTTTATTTGTAAATTCCAGGATTCAACATGAGAAAGATGACCTAAGGAAGTCACTAAATATTCTGTCGTGCTGAAGGGAGATAACAAAAGCCTCAAGTCAAAGTAGATTAAAAAAATAATAATAATAGTTTTTGCTACAACTGATGGTGGCGAGGTAACCTTAGCAACACGGATTGAGGCTGCAGTCCAAAGGACGGTTTTATTTTAGCTTGACAGCTCGTGCAGGATTTATAAGAAAGAGAAAACAGTAAAACAAAGAGCAGGCTGTAAAGCCAGTGTGCTCTTGTTTGATGTGTGCAGTGATAAAGAGAGTCGACCGGCGCCACAGGAGGCTTCACATCGAGCCTCTGTTTCACCTCTTTAGCCATCATTTCATCTCTTCAAATCTTTCAGTGCTTTTGTGAGCTTTTTTTTTCTTTTCTTATTTATCTGTGATGCATATGCTAATGTCGCAGCTTGAGAGTTTGCGCTGGCATTTCTCAGTGCTCTTCACTGCGAAGAGCTTTGTTAGTTTTTAAAGTTTGCGATTTAAACAAAACCCATGTTCTCTGCATTGTTGTAGCACTTAATTAGCATATCAGTTTTAGGTTTAGCTGCAAAATTTAATCAGCACACTGACGGTTTTAGCAGAGGCACCGGTGTACTTTAGAGCTCTTCTAAAAACTGTTTAATTTATCATCAGAAAAATTGAACATTGAGGTTTAGTTGCAGTGAAGAGCACTCAGTGGCCTTAGAAAATGTAGACCACAGTCAGCATATTATCTTATCATTGTGATTTTAGAACAACAATAGGCCATAAAAAGTAACTTTTCCATCATTTAATACAGCACTTATGTATAATGAGAGAAAATTAAGGACATATTTCAAAGCTCGTACTTTGTTGAAGCACTTTTTCATTTCATTTCAGCATTCAGTTAAGGAATCGATCAACATCCCACCTCCTGACTTGGCAAGGTTTGCAGTTCTACCCGGCGAATTTTCTCCAAATCGGTCAAGTTACAATGATTTGTCTCATCCAAAACCCACTTCAGCTGTCGAGCCGAGAAGTTTGTTTTGACAGAAAAATAATTCTTTCTTCATAGTCCAGATTACAGGAGATTATTATCATATATACATAAACGGCTGTCATCTGAAACTCCTGCAGCTTTGTCAATGTTGCTGTCTGCCTGTCAGCCCATCTTGTCATTTCCTCCGGTTTGGAGAAACATCCCCTTTCTGTAATGTTTCTGTTGCGTTCTTTTCTCAAATTAGTCTTATAGCCATGCATAATTCTGTGCATTTTGTACTACTGCTCTGACTGATATCTTTGTAAAACTGACATCTTTTCTATTCTTTTGCAGCCTTGCTACAAGTGCAGCTGACCTCTACTTCATCTGATTTATCATGACTGATAAGTGTGGGCTGAATAATACTGACTATTGAAACTGTTGTACTTCGACAAGGTGTTGATGCATTTGTTGTCTGATATTTTCTCTCGAACTGTACAGAATAATAACTGCTTGTAAAAAGTCTCTAAGTAATTTATTCCAGTGAAATCTCCAGCAAAAACCTCTGATGTGAACAGAGATAATTCACAGACACTGTCATGCCACCAGTGCAGAGCTTGCTGGAAATTAGATGTGGTTGCATCTTCTCCAACAGTGACGACTTTTGGATAATTATCCTTTGCTCAGTTTTGTCAAAAATCACTGAACTGTGCAACAAATCAAATGATATCTTCCAAAAGCAAAATCTTTCAATTCTCCAGGTGCAATTCAGGTGATCTCAGTGTAATTATTATTGTAACAGTTTTACTGGTTAAAGTTGTAAAGGCAGGGTTCTATAATCACAAAGTTATAGTTTAATGGATGTAGAGAAGGAATCTTAAATTTTTTAGGACAAACAAATGTCTGTTTTTATGGGTTTTCCAATGAAAGCCCCTTATTGCTCAACAAACCTTTCAAAAGAAATCTGAGCTTATAAAGGTTAAAAAGCAGAATATTTTGTCACAGTTCAAAAATACTTAAACATATATAGAGTCACAGTGGTAGTTAGGAAAGAGTTGTATTGCATAAAACATAAAATATGTTTTATGTCATGTTACTTCATGACGTCATTTATCCACAATCAATGCAAAAAACACCTGTGTTGACTTTTTTTTATTCAGACATTAATCCCTATTGTCTGAGTTAAAGAGTCTAAAAAATACCCTTCATGGGATATAATCCTCTTGACGTAAAATGTCGCGTTAATGCGGTGATAGTTGTGGGCTGAAGTTTGGAGCAGAGATCGTGGCTTTATTATTCCTAGAACTATAATCATATAACAGATAAATATGTGCCATAATATCAGGAAAGCCTGTTTGAGGTTCTAACATTTCTTTCCTCGACCTCTGAATCCTCCTAAACTCTTTTCATTTATTTATTTATACATGGTCGGGCAATTGCAAAACCCACCAGCAGGGGGCAGAATAAGTAGAAGCTTGTATGCGAGTTTATTTCAACAGCTGAGATGATCTGGTACTGGGAAAAACGCCCAGTTTCTGTCACACACACCCACACACACACACACACACGCACACAGTGAGTTATCCCTCTTGTCTGTGAGTGTGATTATTCCGTGTGAGCACGAAAACAACAACAATCTCTTTAAAAGCTGAACAGAGCCGTCAGATATAGCAAACTGACTGCAGGTGTGACGGAGTTCAGCTCATCAGAAAATGTGTGACTTGCTGGTAAAAATCTCTTTAAGCTGCCAGAAAAAAAAAGAAGAAAGAAAGAAAAAGACAGAAGCAAAAACAAGTGACACATAAAGTCTGATCTGTGTTGGCAGCTCCGCTCAAAACTTCCAGTGCTGCACAGAGCACACCAGAAGAAGAGACAGGAGAGGAATGGGAAATTCTTTCTAAGCTTTTGCAGAAATAATAATGCATCTCAAAGGACATAACGGACATTTTACCTCTCGCGTAAATTTCTCTTCCTTGTGCAATGCACCTTCCTCCAAATGCATTAGTTTAAAATCTGTGCTGCTTCTTTTGTCTTCGAAGATTTTCTCCAGGAAGCTGGAGTAGTCCAGATAATGTTTGCAGTTCGGATGAAGCACCTGATGATGATGATGATGATGATGATGATGATGATGATGATGATGGCAGCAGCTCTGCACATCTCAGAGACCATTCCACAGTTTGAAAATGTGTTTACTGTTGCTGTAGTTTCTAACATAAATCACAAGGATTTTTGGAGTAAAGAAAAGAAAAAAAAATCAAACATGGCAACTCACCTTTTCTTCAAATCGAACTGCTTGTCATTCTCGTCGCTCACTTTTCCAACGCAAATCTCTTTCCTTGCTATTGTTGTCTGTGGCGAGCATGAGCAGAGGTGATTCAGCCAAGTGAAACACGCAGTTTAAGAGAGCAAACACGCGAGGAGCAACGAGAAAGCTCCCTCCTCCTCCTCCCTGCCCCCCCACTGCGAGAACGCAAACTCCCGAGGAAGCGTGATGCTGCAGCTCGGGTGCCTCTCCGTCCTCATGGCAACAACAACAACCCGACTGTGGACGTGGAGAGCGTGCAGGGGGATTATATGCACTCGCTGCTGGACTCCCTCCAACACACGGCTCTTGGATGGCAGGATGAAGGTCTGCCCGTCGCTTGGGATGGAGAAGAGTCCGAGCAACAGGCACCTGAGAGCCGACACAAACTTTAGAAAGTTTACAAAATTGATTCAGACTGAAAATTGGGCTTTTTGCAAATGCATTCTGGTTGATCTGAGCTTTTTGGTCGGGCACTAGTAGTTAGTAGTCCATCTACTAACTGAATTGGTGTTGAATGATTTTCAACACCAAATAGGTTTAATAATTTTGTGTGTGTGTGCTGTGCTGAAGGTGGTGGAATGAAGCGAAAATCTTAATATTTAAGAGAGAGAACCTCTTGGAAAATGGGTCCAATCTTTACACACACATAATTATTGAGGCACTTGACTTTTCAATCAAGACCTTGTTAAATTAGACGACATAATCTTTACTCCGGATGTAAGAAACTATGTAAATCCTGTGATGTGAACTGAAGTGGAAGCACTCAGATAACAAATCTGAAAACTGTGATACAGGACGGGCTGTTATTGTTTGATTCTCAACTTCTTCATACTTTATTGTTCCTGGAGCTTCATTTTGCTTTACATGAAGCATAACAAACCAAAACAAAACCAAGAAATATGAACATAATTAGATTTAAAGTTGATAATTGACATCAGCAGACCTGGCAAAGACAAGCAATGTTTTATTTTTGTTTGTTTTGGGGGTTTTTTAAGAGAAAGAAATGATGCTTTGCCTGACTTTCACATTCATATTCCAATCTGCTGAGAAGGAATGAGAGCAGCTCATTTATTTCCTCTTAGAAAAAAATACCGATGAATTTTTCTGCACAGACGCTTTCTCAGTGTCTACCCAAGACATCTGTCTAGATTTCCTTTTATTTATTTATTTTTTTATGTCACATCCACATTCTGAACATTGATACTTATATTTTTCAACTGCACAAATAAATAGCCAGACTGCAAATCTACAATGGCAAATAAAGCTTTGGTGGATTAATGAATTGAGGTCAGCAGCCAGGAGGCAAGTAAATAATCCGAGAAGGGAATCGATTGAGACCAACACAACTCTCAACAATATGCTGTGAGACAGGGAGTCATCTTCAAGGAGAAACCAATCAACTCTTGTTTTTGCAATAAATTGAGATTTGTGCAAACTCTTCATATTGCGTCAAGTGAAAGTCATCTTTGTTTAGACAGGAAAAACGGCTTTAGAGATGGCCACCATGCCTGCATGACGCCATCTTAATGAAGGTGTTAGATCCACCTGTCTCTTCGCTCAGCTGCAGGATCCTGAGGTGCGTTGACGCACAAACTATCTGGGATTTCTGCACAATAAGAGCTTGTGCTGAGTCAGAAACTTACCATCTGCTGCTATACCTCAGGGAACCTGCGCTCATCAGCAAATCTCTTTCCAAACCCGGATTCAGGAAGGGGGAAAGATCAGAGGTGAACTCCTGCAGCAGTCTGAGCCAAATCAAAGTTCGGCGATGCGTAATGTCATGATGACGTTTGTTTCATTACATTTGCTTCCTGTTTGTCTGGTGTTGTGGCTGGATTTCTATGGTACTGTTGAGGACAATAAACAGTGAAGTGAAGCGAATGAAAGGAGAAGTGTGTTGGAGCAAGGTAAGCTGCAGCCAAACAAAAAAAACCAAAATCTGTATTTTAAATCTGAATATATTTCTCACAACTAGTCTTCAGTCTTGCGTTTTAAAGAACAAACTTTCACTTGTTTCTTTTCTCACTGTGACAACACAAGAACGTTCAATGTGCTGTGAGGTAAAGTATAAAAAGAGACGTTTGTGTGTCCAAATGCATTCAAAACCAGTCTTTGTTTCGGCCAACTTCAACTTTTAGAGTTGAAGTTCTCATCGTGATCATAAACACCACATTAATATGAGTAAATAGAGGAAAAATGACCCATTTTCAACTACTTATTTATAAAACCCATCCATCCATTCATTTTCCGGTCACCCTTCTCCCTAACGGGGTCGGGAGGTGCTGGTGCCTATCTTCAGCTGCGTCCCGGGCGAGAGGCGGAGTTCACCCTGGACAGGTCGCCAGTCTGTCGCAATTAATTATTAAACCCTAGAAGAAATTATAAGTCAATTAAGTTCAAGCTCCTGCTGTCTGGATGTGTGGGTGATTAAGCTTGGAAATGGTCGGTTGTTCCAGCCTCAAGTGAAAATTTATCATTTGCAATGAGAAGTCAAACAGCTTAAGTGAACTTGACTAACAATGGCAAGAAGAACGGTCACGTGTTCGATATTATTTTTGCCAAAAATATGAGGTAACACTTTATTCGAAGAGATGTGCATGTGCATTTGTATGATTTTGTAAATAATGACACTTCATGTTCATAGTAGATATTATGTCATGTTTATGACAGTGTCGTGTCAGTGTTAGGATCAGCTCTTCAAATAAAGTGTTACCACATATGTAGATTGTTACAGAAAGTTTGGTTGAAGTGCAACTTCTCAGAGGATATTTCTCAAAAGGCATGTCTGGAATTTACATAAATGTTTTGGGGGGTTGTTATTATATATGCGGGAAATCTTTTTTTATCCATTTAACTCTCCAAAAACACACACACAATTCAAATTCACCATTAGATCTAATGGTCCCAAGTGACTGGATCCAAACCACTTACTGTATTTCTTCTTTTTATACGTCAGCATACAGTATCAGACCATGAGTCAGTGTGCCAGTAAACAGCAGCCTTGCACTAATAAAACTACTAGTTTCCTCTGAATTTCCTTCCTCAACTTCTGCTTTCTCAAGACTTGCTTTTGATTTGCGTGATGATTTGCAATACCTTCATGTTTCTCAGCTGCAGCACTTATACTGGCAGGTTATATTGGGCCAAATGCAGCTGGTAGTAAATGAGATTCACATGACGAGCCACAGATCAGATGTAACAGGAAACAGGACTTCTTCTTTAACAGAGAGTCCGTTTGCTGGGTCTCATTTCTTCTTTGGACGTTAGCAACTCAAGGATTGATCCCGTCGAGGTATGTGCAACCCTGGTTTTGAGTTTGGGGCGATAAAGAGATGAGCTGCTTGGTAAATATAGCGAGCAAATGAAATTATTATGCAGAGATAGGATGGCTAGGAAAGTAGCCTAGACATGCTAGTGAAACCTGTTTTAAGTTCCCCTTTGTGAGCAGATGTAAAAATACACACTTTATCATTTGCAGAAATATTTCACAGTTGTCCTTTATTCTCATAAGTTCATGTGCACCAGCACCAGTGATTGTTTCATTTTGCTTGAGATGCTCCATTTTTAGGTGTTGAATTGTTTATTGGCTTTCTGTCTCAGGTTAATTAAAGTTATGCAAAAACCAGTTTAAATCCAGTTCAAACACGAGAATAGTTTTTAAACACATTGATGTAACTGATGTGAAAAACTGAGCATCATTAATCTGGAACCGTGTATTTCAAAGGTCTGCACTCCCAGGTTTTGTGATAATAAAATAGGACTGCGATGCATTATTTCACAACTTTTTTCATGTTTAGTGTGAAATTCATTCAGCAAATTTCAAAGAAAACAAAAATATGAAAACACGTCAAAAAGTGCAAACGATGTGCTCGCACAAGTGAGCAGAAACTTAGCTGACACTCCACACCATTTGTTTATTGTAGTGAATCTGACTGACTTAAAATAACGTTTGGCTATTTCTATTTGCTAAATTCAAGATTGAAAAGGGAGATTATTTTGTTACTTTTTCAAAAGTGCACACCAGTTTCACTTGTTGCATTTTAAAATGATGACATGAGTCAAACTTTTTGATGGGTCTTTCGCAAACGTCTCCACCTGCTACACTCCTTCTCCTCTTTAAAACTAATGTGGCAGCATAATAAGAGTTATTGTTCATTTGGAGGACCGCCTTGTGCAAAACCCTTCACTTCATGGCTGATGTCCAAACAGGAAACTTTAGTATTTGGTACACTGACCTTTGAGGTGTTGTCTTGAAATGCATTCACATGTGAGCCTGCATTTAACTAAAACGATATGACTTCCTTAACAGATGATTAGAAACCTATGAAGTAATCACCTGTTTTATTTAAGTTTTTAAAAAACCCTCATCTCAATATGCTGACAAATAATTTTCTCAATCCTCGCTTATCCAGACTAGAAAACCAGATTATTTTAATTTAATTCTTAACAACAAGAAAAGTTTTATATGTATATTAATATACAACTTTAGAAAAAATGAAGAGACTGCTGGCGAAATCGAAACCTCCAGGTTTTTCCACCAAATATTGATTTCTGAACTGAGTTAAAATATCAGTATCGTTGTATTAATCTAAATTAATATGAACTTGTTTTCTTTGCATCATTTGAGGTTTGAAAGCACTGTGTCTATTTTGACCATTTCTCATTTTCTTCAAATAAATACAAAATTTTTGCTTTGAATTTCAGAGACATACTGTCAGTACTTCATAGCATAAAATAACAATGTTCATTTTACTCGAACATATGTCTACAAAAAGTAAAAATCAGACAAACTGATCATTTTAAGTGGTTTCTTAATTCTTTTCAGAGCTGTAAATACTGAAAGTTAGCTACAGTTGTACATATTTTTATCAAAATCTGTAATTCTGGGACGCAGTGACAATTTCTTTTCGTGTTAAGAACATAAAATCAGTGGGTAAATTAAGAGAAATCTTCTCACCAATATTGACAACAACACAGTTGATTTATGAGCCATAAAGAGTTATTAATATTAAGTTTCAAAATATCTGATCAGTCAAATAATTCCCCAACTATAAGTCCTTGATGACACCTAACCGTGTAAAATGTTTGTTTTTTCTTCTAGGATGCATGTCTGGTTGAGGGCCGTTTTGCTTCTGGCGGCTGTGATCCTCTGCTGCTCTTCATCGGCCACAAACAGGTTGTGGGACGACTGGAGAACTCAACATGGCAAAGCCTATGACAATCAGGTCTGAGTTAGAAAGAAAAAAAATATTTAAAACATTCAATACATTTCTGGCACAAACGTGCAAACGTGTATGATGCCACCATTTCAGACTGAGCTGAGCTTCAGGAGAACCGTGTGGGAGAAAAACCTGCTGTTGTTGCTCAGACACAACCAGGAGGCTTCAGCAGGAAAACACAGCTTCACTCTGGGACTGAATCACCTCGCTGACATGGTAGGACGAGGGTCCGGAGCCGGGTCCCGCACGTCTGCCTTTCTGAGGCCGAGTAAATGAAGCAGAACAGCAGTGATCTACACAAAACAAATAAGAAATAGTTAGAAAAATATAGTAAAACTCAGCGATAATTAATGGCTAATCAAAAGTCTGCTTTTTCAAGCCATAGACAGCATCTAATCCAGAGGTCATCAACCTTCACAACCCTCAGAGGGTTTGTTTTATCTGCTTAAAAGATGGCGGCAGGACAGACGCATGACTGTTTCAAGCAGAGTAGCTTGTTTTTTGTAAATTTGTTTGGATTTTTCTTTTTAAATAAAGTAAGCCATTTCATTTTTGTATTTAAAAGTTTCGATTACATAATACAGAAAAGCATACAGTTTGCAAACGTTATAAATAATGTTCCTAATACCTGTTATCACTCTTAGGGGTAAAGCTGCGCATACAAATCTTATTAGAATGAGGCTGAAACAGGCAGAAAAAGGAAATTGTAGATTTTTTTTCCACTAATAAAATGAACGATCAAAAATCATAAACAGATATTCAATTATAAAGATGAAGAACCTGAATATGCAGGGTATTTTTTAAAGGATATCACAAGGTGGTTTTCATTTGGCTGGGCAGCCTGAGCAGAAATGCCTGGATGGGTGTAGCATGTCAACGCGCTGCAGGAGTCTGGCTCCAATGTTTAGGACGCTCACACAAGCTTTTGGCTCGCTGTCAGAGGACAGAGCACCGCAGTTACATTGGAAAGTGCCATCACTGTTCAGTAATATCCAGGAATAAAAGAAAACAGAGTGCAGGATGGTATTGAAGAATACAGCCAAAAATCAGAGCAGAGGCGACTTAGACTCCGTTTAGAAATGGGATTGATTTTAATCTTCTTCTTCTTCTTCACACACAAACACAATGAACTGTTTCACAAACACTATAAATGCTCCACCTTGAAAGGTGTCAAAGTCAGAAATGCAAAAAATTCTTCCATCTACACGTTTTTAATATCCATAAACATGAAACTCAATTTAAGCTGTGCAAGCTTTTACAAATAGTTAGAATAGAATAGAATTCAACTTTATTGTCATTGCACTGTCACATGTACAAAGCAACAAAATGTAGTTTGCATCTATCCAGAAGTGCTATACAGGATATAAATATTTATAAACAGTTGTACAAAGATATAAACAGAGAATAATGACGTGCTATAAATGTTTTGTACAAATATAAATATGACAGCTATGTACATATTACATAAATTACACAGATTATACAGAATATACAGGAATATGAAGAATGGATTGTATATATATATATATATATATATATATATATATATATATATATATATATATATATATATATATATATATATATATATATTAGTTGTTTTATAATACAGGATAAGTAATGGCAGATTAGATTTACAGATTATATAAAGATTATATACAGATCGTGTATGTGAGGGGAACAGTCCGGGGATGGGGGGGTACAGTCCTTATAGTTTGTGTCAGGAGGCGTTCAGGAGCGTGACAGCTGTGGGGAAGAAGCTGTGGGGAAGTTCCGGTGCCTGGTGGTTCTGGTCCATAGGCTTCTGTAACATAAGTTGTAATTTGATGTAGGATTTGTTAGTCTTACTTTTTGATCCACTCGTTGTCCCCTGAGTTTGATGTCCTGATTATTTTGACAAACACTATTCTTGTGCTTTGTGTCGTGTTTCTGCTTTAAGACAGCGGAGGAGATTAATGAAAGGCTGAACGGTTTGAAGGTGGAGGAGCCTCTCGATCTCAGGAATGACACGCTCAGAGACGCAAATGACTCGTCGCCTCCCACAAGTGTCGACTGGAGGACAAGCGGACTGGTCGGTCCCGTCAGAAACCAGGTACTGAATGAGATGCTGAAGGGAGACCAGCAAAACCTGGAAGATAGCAGAAGTCTGAATGTCCTTTTTGTTTTTTATTCAGGGCTTGTGTGGCTCATGCTGGGCCTTCAGTGCTCTGGGAGCTCTAGAGGGGCAGATGAAGAAGCGAACGGGCGTCCTCGTGATGCTGAGTCCACAGAACCTGGTGGACTGCAGCGCTAAGGAGGGAAACCTCGGCTGCAGGGGAGGGTACATCACCAAGGCTTTCAGCTACATCATTCACAATGGAGGCGTCGACTCAGAGAGCTCGTACCCTTACGAACATCAGGTCATCCTCTGAATGCTGACGCGGGCCTTTTTTTCTTTCTTCTTCTCATTTTTTATTCTACTCATCAAAAACAGAACATTCTAATGTCCTTTTTTCTCTAAGGAGTCATGTAGTGTCGAGTTTATCTTCAAGACAAAGATCATAAACTAAACAGAGAGCTATGATAACAGCTTGAATCAAAAGATTTTCTACACCTCCACATTTTGCATCTTGTTTGCAGAATGGAAAATGCCGCTACTCGCTCCAAGGCAAGGCGGCTCACTGCTCCAACTTTCACGTCCTTCCCCGGGGGGACGAGTTGTCTCTGCAGGCTGCAGTGGCAGCAGTGGGACCAGTTGCCGTGGCTGTGAACGCCATGCTGCCGTCTTTCCATATGTACAAAGGAGGTGAGGATGCTGACGGCTCTGAAATCAGGACGTTTGCCAGAGCTTGCATTTTCAAGTCAACCTTACTACATTTCAAATCAGATTTACGATGAAATGATTTGAATAAACTTCATAGATAAAACTGCAAATAATGTGCAAGTTTTCTTATTTTATAGTTTGAAGGTGAAAAATCATATCGTTGTGAAAATTACTGATTTTGTTGGTAACTTCCTCCCACATGGCCAGCCCTGGTAAAACTGATTAAAACAAACATTTTTCTCCGACAACACTTCACAAGGTTGTGGAGTACAGAAATGGATTTTTGACTTTTCTTCTGAGTGCAATCTATGTGGTTTCTCTCTTAAGCTCTTCTTTTGAGCTCACACAGGATGTGGGTCTGTGGACTGGGAAGTTCTTGGAAAAGGGTTCGTTTTATGTATGGTGAACTATTTCTGTGTTGATTTAACCAAACGATTTTAGTCATCCAGCTGAAAGAGTCGTTCATCGTCCATTTGCAGTTGTTTGGCAGAGGTGAACATTTTTGATTTAAAATGATCTTGTGTTGCTGAGTTTGTGATGCCATGGACCCTAAAATGGTTCCAAAAGTATTTTGGACTGGCCCGCAGCATCACAGAACCTCCACCAAGTCTTATGTTTGCCCTTTGTTTTACGTCAAACCCGACCTTTTGTTTTTGCTGCTGAAATGCTCACCTTTTGATTTTCAGACGTCACATGTTTATATTTGTGATGGTAGGACAGAAAATAGTTATTTAAAAAAGTAACTATTCAATATTTTTGCTGTATCAAAACGTCATACTCATAACTATTTCAGTTCCTGTTGCTAAATAAATGATTCTTGCAGGTTTATACAACGCGCCTGACTGTAACCCAAAGCTAATCAATCACGCTGTGTTGGTTGTGGGCTACGGCACAGACAGAGGACAGGACTACTGGCTGGTGAAAAACAGGTAGGAATGTTGTCACATTTACTTTTTTTTTAGCATTTGCTGTTTAATAAAATGATATGACGTGATATTTCTGTGGTTTCAGCTGGGGAACGGCTTGGGGAGAAGGAGGATTTATCCGGATTGCCAGGAACGAGAAAAATCTCTGCGGCATTGCGACGTTAGCAGTCTACCCAACGCTGTGAAGTCAACTGAGATTTATTCTGTTTTAATTTTATATTGATGTTTTTTTTTTTAAAGAAGTGCACTGTGCTGTCAGAGCACTACAGAATCTACTAACAACACTGTTGGTTAAAAAGGTTCTGAACTATAATATAGTTTTTAAGGATTCTGTTCTGCTCAGTGCTGCAGGTGGGAGCATTGGGTTCAAATCCTGCACTGGGGTCTTTCTCTTGGTGGTTTGCATGTTTTTCCTCCACATGTGTCGATTTTCTTTACGTATTCCACCTTCCTCCACGTTAGAAAAAACATGTTATGTTAATTGGTCTTTCTAAATGAAAGTACAAGTAGTTGTGTGTATTTGTGATGAACTGGCGACTTGTCCAGGATGTATCCTGCCCACCAGCTCCCCTCAGCCCTGCAAGGACCAGTGGTTGTGGACAATGAGTGGATGTTAGCTTTACATCTAAACTGCTCAAATGCTCTGCAGAGGGAACAGAAACTATTATAAAATTAATATCTGGACCATCAAACTTTACAGATTTGTTTTTACCTTTTCCAAATTCAAATTTTTACTGTTAACACTTTTGTATCAGGAAATGAGAATTTTCCCAACACAGGGCTATTTCTAAGTACAGATAAAATACTACAAAAGGTTGATAGTAAATTCTTGAGTTTTTGAGGAATGTTTTTGTTTTGTTTTGTTTAATTATTCTGCGTACATGGAATTCACAAAAACTAGTCCCTACTGACAAGAAACTTCCCTGTTCGTCTTTATTTATACAAACCCATCAAGTTTAGATCTAGACCGCAATATAATTTATAGAGATTTCATCTAAAGCAAAAACACAAAGTAGCACATTATTGTGAAGTCAAAGTAAACGAATACATTGTTTTTGAAAGATTTTGCGTGAATAAAACTCTGAAAAGTGTACTTCACATTTGCGTTGAGTCATTTCTCTGCCTCCCTGCTCCGCCGTGCCTTCAGAGGGGTTTCAACGATGACCACCAGCATGATCATTTTGACCCTTTTCCTAAACATGACGTGAAGTATATGGTATAATCCCTGCTTATGTTTCAGCAAATCCTCTTTTGACTGGTAGGGTTGTGCTTAAAGAGGAATTAAAAGTACTTGGGGTCTGGTGCAGAAGGCAGGACCTTAAATCCTTTAACAAACTACGAGCTAAACACAAACATTAAAATCTGAAACTGTGTGCAAAAATGATGGGTTTCAACAAACAGATGCGACAACTCTTTTAATGTTTAAATGTCTGGCAAAGGTCACGAACGTCTTTTCTTTTGAATACGATCAAGACGTCCGTCCCTTTCAGTAGGTTAAAAACATGATGGTCAGCTAAATGATTTAGTGTTTGGAACCAGACAAAATAAGCTTGACATTCTTCTTTTAAAAACTGTGCAGTATTTTAATGCAAAAAAAAAAAAAGGTTTTCTTGTTGCATTTTTGGTTCTCAGTGCAAATTGCATTTATGACAAAAATTTTCTAAAACATTTTTCAAAGGTGAAAAGATTTTCAAAAAACACAAAGGAATTGTTTTTGCAATCCGTTTTCAAGAAGTATTTGTATCATAGCGTGATACATTTTCGAAGTAAAAACAAAAAACTTGTGTTTTAAAAACTGCTGTTTTAACTCGATAAATAAAAACCAGATCTGTCTCCATCGTGGGCGGTGACTGAGGACTCGCTCACCATCTCCTCCTCCAACTCTCCAAGGTTGCATTCCCTTCAGAAAAGAATCTTAAAAGGATTCAGTAATAAAACTGTGTGGATTATTTAAAGATAGCTGTAACTGGTGCCTTTTTAATTAATCTTTTTCTAGATTTCCAAAACTATATACATTTTATTTGCATTATTATTCCCTGACTTCTGTCGATTGTAAAATAGTTTTTTTTTATTTTTTTTATCAAATTGACACATCAGTTAATCTAAATGAAACTATTCAGACTTCTATGACTATTTGATGTTCAATTTCCTGTGACTGAATTTTATTCAATCATCACATAACAGCATTATGGCTGTAAAACACAAACCAATCTGTGCTGCAAATAAAGTGACAGACATAAACACGGATGGGTTTTAGATTCACTGGAGCTAATGTGTCTTTTTTTCATCCAAAGTTGTGTATAAAATACTAAATTATAAAAAGAGCAAAATAATATAGAAGTCCTTGGAGCACAGGAAAACCTTCCTCCATCTCATGTTCCTCGGTGGATGATCTGGGATGCATTCACGGCTTGTTTTTGCTGCCACCAAGTGGACAAAAAACGCCTAACAACTAATGTATAATAATTTGCAGATGTGAAGCAAGAGTGGAGATAAATAGATGCCTAGAAAGAGTCCATCACTGACCTGCAACTGCACAGGTCAGTGATGGTTTAATGGTATGAAGTGACCACTTCATACCATTAATTTAAGTTAATTAATTAATTAATTAAATTAATTCTCTTTATGAATTGTACATGCACATTTTCTACAATTTTATTAAGCGTCTAATGTCCTCTGGTTGATTGTTTTGGAGTTTTTTTTCCCCCAAATTGTCTGGTAATAATTGTTAATAATTTGACTTTTATTGCAAAATGCTTATACCTGCTCCTTCATCAGATCTTGACAAGTTTCAGAGTCTGATTTTCACAGTGTTTTGTGGCGTCACATTGACCTCTACACAGTCACATTTGGACCAGCACTGGCAGCTGTGGAAGAGAACCCATAACAAGCTGTACGCTCATCAGGTAACAGATTAGTTTTTACCACCATTTGTTGGAGGTTGAAGAGTTGGGTTGCAGACAGTTATGGGAACAGAATCTGGAAATGATAAATGTCCGTAACTTGGAGACTTTCCTTGGCGTGCACACCGATGAGCTGGGAATGAACCATCTGGGGGATCTGGTGAGTCTTTAGGCGAAAAAGAGTTGATAAACTGGGAGATTCTGACCTTATTTGCAATAATGACTGTTGATGTTAAATCTCTTTTCATGACAAATGCCTTCCAGTGTGTCATCAGCAACAAAGGTATTAGCTCTGATGCTCTTAATTGCATCCTAATGTACTAGATATAATGGCTATGAAAATGTTCTACCAATTGCCATGGCTCGCTCTCACACATTCCTGTATAGGCTTATAACTTCTGATTAAAGTTTGTTATTTCAGTGTTCAGGTCAAAATGTGAGGAAAGGAAGCAGGTTTTGTACAACTTCGATTCCTGTCACGTCTTTCAAGTGTCACTTTTGATGCAATCCTCTGAATAAGTGCATGTGTATTGGAATTGAATGTTTTCCTTTGGAAAGAAGTTCGGCATTGCCATCTTTTATTATGTTCAAATTATGCCTGGGCATTAAAAGTCATGCTGAGCAGAATTCAGCTGAATCATAAAATGGCTCATCTTGAGGTATCACTTACCTTTAAATGCAAATGCAAGACATCATTTTGTTTTTGTTTTTTTTTGGTTTTTTATTTTCAGTATAATTTTTCCTCAAAGAACTGGATAACTGGCACAAATGTGCAAAACCCAGCATGATGAACAAGTCTCACAGAAAATACATACAGCACCTTTTCAGCATCACCAAAATAATCTCAATATCCATGATAATAAATACTATATTTACCAAGATTTTCAGTCTTCATTTACAAAACACAAAGACAACACATAATAGATTTTTTTTTCATATTTAACTTTTTAGAATCGTTTTCTTGAGCTTTTTTTTTCCCACAAAGTCCATACTTTTACATAGAAACATTTACAGTTTCCACACACAATACACTGAATTTTGAAGTGAACTTACATTTAGAGAAGAACCTTTATTAGTTAATAAACAGATCAGAGTCAAACTGAATAAAACACAAATGTAAACTCCTGTTATCCCACAGAAAATGAAGGATTCTCGCTGTTCTCTGCAAATGAGTGTTGTTCCGGGATGGGTTGATTCCTTTTTTTTTCTTTTTTTCGGTAAACAAGTCATTCAGAACCCATTTGAATGTTCATATGAGTTGATCAGACAAATATCATGCCATGAAAACACCTTTAACAGACCACCATAATCAAGGCAAGTAATTCTGGTGTCTATATGCTGCCATAAAACTCAAACCAGAAATAAGTTTTTCATTTGTACATGTATAGATTTTACAGATAGCAACAGTTGGTTACATTTTGGACAGGAGCTTAAACTTTAACAGGAAAACTTTTTAATAAGTCATGGCCTTTCTTTTTGCTTACCTGTCCTCTTTTATTTTATAAACTCAAACAAGTAGGTTCATGTGACGTCTAACTTTTTGTTAATTTATGCATATTTTTGGCTCCCCGTTACTATTGCCTCTTCCCGGCCTTCCCTATCTTGTATATCTGACAAGATTGATGTGTTTCAAGCAGCATCATACTCAGATATTTATTAATAAACAATATGAGTGTCTTGAGGTAACTTGGGTCCAAGCTGTACAAGGAGCACAGTTACCATCGACTGACTGTCACATAAGTTCAACCAACGTTGACCCCAGTTTGATAAAGAACAATCATTGCAAGCAACATACCTATGTCATCATACAACAAAAACACTGCTTCTCTTGCTTTAGACAAAAACAGCTGGCATACAGAACATCCAAGAGATTAGACAATACGATACAAACATGCGTCAAGATCGGCTGCATACAGAAATCTGACGGGTAAAAAAGAAAAAGGATTTTAGCACAGGTGTCACCAAGTCACTACTTTGTAAGTTTTAAGTAAGTTTCGGGTCTTTGTCCTCAAGTCGGGAGCTTGGAATTTCAAGTCGTTTTTTAATTTTTGGCTTGTTTTTTTTTTAATAATGTTCCAATTATGCTAAATGTAAATGATAGACCATGTGTCATCCAGAAACACCCACAGCGTTACGTCCTTACAATTGTACAATTTTTTACTTTCACAGCAATTTCTGAAGGATAGCAAGATACCTGGGTTTTGATTTGTTTTCTAGCAAAATTATACCACTAAGATATTATATCACTTGGAGATGGTATTTCAACGACCATCACACCGCTATTTGAAGAGTTATAACTGTAAAAACAGTACAACACACTGGCTGCAGTAAACACTTGCTTTGTTGTCAATAGTGTTTTTCTCAGCATAGATTGTCTTTAAATATACCCCTACCTGTCAAATTTTGGATTTGGGAATATTTGCATTTTTTCAAGTCAAGTCTCATGTCTTGATTTCAATGAGCCGAGTCCAAGTCATGCGACTCGGGTCCCCACCTCTGGATTTTAGTCACGGTGTTGCCTTGCGTTTAATCAGTCAGGTCATGTCTCTGAAGTCGGCTTCATTTAAGGCCTTTTCAAAGACATTATAATCTATACTGATGGAAAAAATCTAACTAACTAAACGTGTGAACCACCAAGTTTAGTGATTTTGTTTTCCATTCGGTCAGTTTCTATTGAAATAAGCTCCAGTATTCGATTCAATAAACAGCTAGCTTCACTTAGCATTGTAGTTGTAAAAAATAAAATAAAATGTTTTAACTGAGGTTTGTCAAAAAAGCTGGTTTTATGGGAGGTACAAAAGATGCTAAAAAAAAATTAATACATGGAGCATGAAGAACCTCAATGACTTTTTAAGAAATAACTCCTGTCATTTTTATCTGCTGCTTTCACAACTTGCTGTATTAGCTAGCTATGCTACATGGCTAACGCTGGATGCACATGAACTAGCAACAGTTTTTGACCATATGTGAAAGAATAAATGTAGTTTTATAAAGTTACTGAACGTCTGACAGACTTGCACTTCCAGTGCTAATATGTTTGCACCACATTTACTATGCTAAGCTATGCTAACAGAAGTCAGTAGCGGTCTGACTTTGGAATGACATTAAAAATAAACAGTCTGTAGTGTTTATAAGTTTATATTGTGCAGTTATTTCCTTTACTTTAAGCCCTAATCTTTTAAAACGTATTCTTATGTTGTGTTTCAAAGATCATTTAGATTTTGGGCAAGTCCACTTCGCTAATGGAAAAAAAAAAAGTATAAGCTACTGTTGAGTACTTTTATATCAATATAATATATTAATACAACTATAAATAGAAAAAATAGAGGAATTTAAAAACAAGTTTATGAACTACATTTTTTTCTTTACTTTAAAAAATATGTGTAGTAGTAAACAATTATGTGAAAGTAATTATCTTTATTCGTAATAAGAACCTTCTCCTACTTGTTAATTTATTCTTTTAGAAATTCACCTCCTCGTTCTTTTGCAGATTTAATTTCATGCCGCCCGCAACTATAAAATAACAGTACGCTACTAGTAAACACACGTGTACAATTTAGAGGATGTGTTAAGGTCAAAATCTCACACTCACTGATTGTCAGCACACATGATGATGTAAAACGTCAAGACAAACGACGCCAAGAATCAGCAATAAGTTCAATCCGCTTTGTAAGTTGGAGAGCGGTGGAGTGAGCGAATATTTTTCAACAAAAAATTTGTACGGTGAGGAATGACTGAACAGGAGCCCTTAAAATTAACTCATACCTTCCTTATATGCTTTGCTGCCTGTTTTTTTTAGTGTTGGTCCCATTGGTTTAATGAAGTTAAAAGGTGATAAGGCAGGACTTGATCTGATCCCAAGTAGAAACTGCTGCGGTTGTCTGTCTGTCTGTGTCATGTGGCATGCTCTGCACCATGTGCTCAAACATTAGCTAACAGCTTTCCATGCCAAAGAAAGAGCTGCAGCAGTACTAGCTGTTGAATAGTATGACGTTTGAAGCGGCACATCCTGGACTGGTGCGCTCGTAAGTGTCATCCTGAATAGATTTTGGGTTCTGTTTTACTGGAATTTAAAGATGCAGAGTTTTATTTGCAGTTTTAGAACTAATTGTAATCATTTTAATATAATATCACAGTGTGTCTTGATATCTGCAAATCAATCACTGACCTCAAGGACAAAAAAAATCAAATTGGGGAATTATGAACACAATAAGAAACAAAACAACTTCAGAGTAAAACTAACTCGACCTGATTCAGGCCCGGGATTTCCTCCTGAGTCTGAGGACATAAGATGACAAAGAGAGTTGTATTGAATCTTTATGACTACAATAAATCAAAATATAAACACATTCTGCCTACATAGAAACAAGCAGTCAATCAGATCGATGTACATTAACCTTTCTGTGAAGCTAACTCCAAAACCTGATTTTCACCTAAAACAAACATTTCAACCTCGCAGTTGTTCCATCCACAAAAGCTCAAACACAAGTGGCTCCCTTAAAACACACAACTAATGCAGACAAAAAGCACACCACAATGTTCTCCTCTCACACATAAACATTTGACCCAAATCCATCCCTCTCACCCATGAACATCCACACACTGTTACACAACAGGGAGGGTAAACATCGGCTTGACACTGAGGAACCGGATCTAACCAAGAATCCTGTGAAATGCATGTCCGTCTGTCTGAGGAAGTCAGCTTTACTGAAACGTTTTAGTGGGTTTTTGTGGGTAATACCTGCTCCCAGTGGGTCTGGCAGTGATGAGCTGAACTACTTTGACAACAACGAAATAAGTAACAGCTCTGTAAACCAGTCATGGAGATTAAGACACACGAGTAAAGAAGAACGCTGCAATTTCATCTTTCCACCAACAAATGCTTCTTCTTTTCAGTTTTTTCTGCCATTCCACTGTGACCACATCTTAGTACAAACACATATTGAACCACCTTTGTAGGATTAGACTTTTGTAATACCTGTCAGAGCAGCTGAAAATAAGCCACAGGTATTGAGATTTTGTGCAGGTTTTCTAAAAAAAAAAAATAAAAAATGTTGGCTCTTCTTTAATACCTGACATTGAACGATGCGATCCACATTTCAAAGGATTCTGGGCTCACAATAGGGGGGCAGGCAGTCTCTGCTGTTGCTGTGAAACGAACGGGCAGCGCTGAAGCTCTCTGGGATGTTCAGGCCTTTCGCTCTCTCTCTCCCTCCGGCCGAACTCTGCTGCCTGCTGCTGGTCGTCGGCCTCACTGCAACACCTGGCCTCTCGTCTCAGGCAGCTTTGTCGCGAGGAAACTGCCGGCGGCGAGTGCTCCGCCGGCGAATAAGATGGGCACGGCCTTAGTGATGCCCACGAACGACTGGAAGATGCTGATGCCCAGAACAGCTGCCAGTTTGCAGAGGGCGTTCAGGAAACCGAACGCTGTGGTCCTGAAGACAAGAACAGAGAGCAGAGTATTTTAACATAAAGTTTTGTGCAAAAGTCCTAAACCATTCCTCTTTTTGCATCTGAGTATTAATGCTTTCTTGTCATCTCCTTAAAAATCTTTCCTTAGGCTTTCTGAAGGTCATTTCATGATTTCTTCATGTTTTGGTTTTTTTTCTTTGCAGGAGACTTAATGCTTTTTCCCCATCTTCAATCCAGTACCTGCCAATTTTCAGAATATTTTTTTCTTTTCTACATCCATTACTTCTGACCTATGACTCATTCACCCAGAAAAGGCTCCGGTACTGAAATCCTTAACCAGTGACGTTTGTATACATGGCAGAAAATGCTCCAGTTTGGTGTCATAATGATGTAGCATAAAAATCTGTGAAAACTTTTTAGATGTAAAAACACTTACCAAACATCGTTTTAGAATCATAGACTGCTCGTTTTAAGTGTAAAAAACTTCAGGATTTATCCCAACAAAAAAGATTTAAAGCAAATGAATAAGTTTTCACTTCTGGTACCTCAGTCAGAGGGGTTTCCATACTAACTCCGAAGCTGTTTTGTGCTGCTGTTGTGCTACCTTTTATCTGAGGGGTACAGCTCCACCGTTATCACATCCAGGGCGTTCCACGAGGCGATGCTGATACCACCAAACAGACACAAGAGGGCGATCATCCCCGACTCGCTGTTACCGAATATCAAGAAGAAGCAGCTGACGCAGGATATGACGCTAGATCCCGCTGGGGAAGGAGAAAAAAAAAACAGAACTTTGAAATCAATTTTGCAGACATTCCAAATGTAGACATTCAAACTGGATTGCGTTTTCCTACCCAGCATCCTCAAACGGCCGATTTTGTCCATCAAAAGCGCAGACACAATGTTCCCGGGGAGCACAGCTAGTGTGCCAAGGAAGTTGACAAAGTATATCATGTAGGCGTTGTTGAAGTCGTCGCTGAAGTCCAGCATGCAGCCCTCTTTGTTGTGGAGGAACGTGCTGTTGATCAGCTTGCAGTTGATAAACCTGTACTTGAACAAATCTGAGGAGAGAAAGAAGCTGCATAATTTTTGCAACCTCAGAGACTCACATCTAAGGCGAATAAGAACGACTCTTAAAATATTGCAAAAAAATACTTTGGTGCACTCCCTATCACATTTTTTTTTAGTACGGCAAGCAGTAATTTGCATTTTATTTTAAAAAATGGGAATGACTGACTTGTTTTTTGACCTTAGATGAGTCAATAAACTGCCTGTCGTTGCTTAGACAGAAGTTGTTTTAGGGTTTAGAGTACATATGTGGGTTTTTATGGAGCTTTTATCTAAAGTCAGTATCTAACCAGAAGAAGACATCTCTCTCAACTGATTGGATGGAAATCAGAAATCAAGCTCCCCTTTCAAGTCTTGCCACACATTCCCAATTGGGTTTATGCCTGGACTTTAATTAGGCCATTCTAAAACAAAATGCTTTCATCTAAAACCATTCTATTGTCTGTGTAAATTTATGGTGGCCGTCCCACTGGAAAGGGAACCAGCGGGATGGTTCTGGCATCCCTTCAGAACCATCCCGCTCACTTCTGATTCGTTATTTTCATGAACAACCATAGCAACGAAAAGCTGCCATGGTTATGCAGCAGCCAAAAATACCAGAGTAATTTAAAACTACAGTCATCCAGTGCTTAAAAAAAAAAGCTTTTTGGACGAGTGACGGAAATAAAAGCTGTTGTTGGCTTCAAGCGTGAGAGGAAAGAGGTTGCTGCTTTCCCTGAGAAAAATAGGCGTGAATAAATCTGCCACAGCTCAGAATGAAGGGCTACAAAATGTTGGCGAAAGAAGCGTTAGAGGCTCTCAGATGTGATTCCCAGCTTCAACTCTGACACGTTGATTTAGACCTTTGGCAGGAATCAAAACCACGAGCAGAGGACGGTCACAGGGAGTCTGTCTCCGCCCACACGGATAAGTTTGTCTCGTGTTCCCTGTTTGATTGATGCTCTCTGAAGCTCAAAGAGCTGCGTCTCGTCCAATCCCTGTGCTGGATTTGGTTACGATCGGTGCAGCTGAAGAGTAACCCGGGGTAACAAGCATCACAAGGTTTCTGTTGTTGTTTCTCGCTGCTCTTCTTTTTCTGGGTGTTTCACTGTGAAATCGGATGATTTGTTTATGTGTATTAATTTGGAGCAATCTAATTTCCATGGATAAATGTAAACTGTAAATGTAAGTATTTGTTCCCTTTGTGTTTATTTTTTAAAAATCCAGAAAACAATTTACTGACTTGAGTAGAATTGGTCTTCCTCTTGACTTACTGCAATCCTTCTTGTTTGTGTAATATTACATTATTATTATCAGTAATAGTAACATTCCAAATAAATATTTTCTCAGATCTTCTTTTCTATACTAATTTCCATCTTGATGAATTAGAGAAATAAAAAAAAGACACACAGTCTTGTAAAATAGTACGTGTTTTGTTTTGTTTTGTTTTGTTTTGTTTTGTTTTGTTTTGTTTTGCAGGGGAGACTTAAGGGATAAAGACAAAATATCACATTGACATTATAATTACATTACAATAATTACATTATGTTGTCTTGAAGCATGACCGGACAACAGTTTTAACATAAAAACCACACTCCCCACCAAATTCCATTGAACTAATATTTGCTATATTTACCTGTGTTGTAAAACAAGCTGGCGATGAAGGTGCAGTTCCTGAAGAATGTGTGTGTGGAGGTGACGTCCTCAAAGTAGCACTCCTCAAACACTGAGTCTTCAAACACCATGGACTTCATCTTCAGGCTGAGGAACCTGCACAGACAAGCTTTAAATAACTCAGTTGCACTACACTTTTGAATAACTAACTTATATTAGTTATTCCACCTTTAAGAGTTGGACTTTTCAGACAAATGTGTACATTACATTAATTTGACTAAATGTAATGTAGTCAGATTACATTTTGGAAAAAGCATTCACAGCGCGTCAGTGCTCCTATCCCTGTTTTATTATGTTAAATCGTGCACTTTAAGTAGGCTGAATGCATCAAAATGATGATTTTCGCAAAGTTTAAAAGCTTTTGAAATGATTCATAATTGATTTATGATCAGTATAAAAGTTTACACAATGATCCAAAAGCTTTAAATTCTCAATTGTCTTTTTCTTTCTCAGTTTCTGGCAGAAACATAAGAATCTTTGGCCAAGTATTCTCTATGATTTTAGATTATTAGCAGCTGGAAGGATTTTTCTTGATACATTTTTACTTATGGACACTTGCTATGTTGCATAATCAAAGAAACAAGGTGGTTTACAACTGGGAGAGGCTGATGTCCCATTTGGCTACATGTCAGAATAAGAAGAAAGCCCTACTTGTCATTAAAATAGTATCCATCGCGATGGACTTGGTTTTCCAGAGTGAAGTTAAAAGTGACATGCTCCACTCGCTCCTTGGTGAAGGTCTTTGTCCGTGATTCATATTCCTGCTTCTGGATGTACTTGATCATGTCAGGGAACCACACTGTCAGCCCGTAGTAGCTGCAAGGTTTTTTGAAGACAAGACAGATGGAAGATGCACAAAAAATAAGCATGATATATATGAGACACTACATGAACAGTGACGGGTCTCTTCTGTTTACCTGAAAGACATGCTGAACCAAACAGCCATGAGCATAAAGGTGGTCCGTTTGTATTCAGGGCTAAAGCAGGCAAGAATGTTGTTCCGTATCTGCAGCATGTGACGAGAGAAGAAACAAGATTCATTTAAAAGAAATAAAGCCGTATCTCTCTGAAGATAATTTCTAAGCTCTGCATGCTTCTACGAGAGTGAGAACAAATTTTGAGAATCAAAACTGAGTTCCAACCCTCGTTGGTAAGTGTTATTTATTCAGGACGGAGGGTGTAGGCGTCGCATTTAGCAGAGAGTAGGCTGAATGCATCAAAATCTAACAGAACTGTGTCACAGTACTGTGGTTGTGCTGCAGAGTGTGACAAAAAAAAAACAGCCTGGGTTTTAAAAAAGCACATTTTTACCTCTGACAACAGGTTTTACTGACCTGTTGGGAGAGACTCATGATCTTCAGTCTGTAGCGCTGCCAGACGGGGGTGTCTGTGCCAATGTCCACAAACTCATCAACCTGCTTCACAGTCTTTATTGTGGTGACCTTGGAGTAATCAGACACAAGACAGTGAGAGGCTTTCATAGTGGCCAATTTAGGAAATATGTTTGGAAACCTTGCTGGCTTAAGCTTATCTCATAAAAACTAAGTAGAGAGAAAATATTTGCCTCATTAAAATTCTCTCTTTTTTTTTTCTTGTCAAAGTTACATACTTCAGATCTTCACTGACAAAAAGCAGTTTTCAAATGATGGTCTATAGTTTATTAAATGTTAACCATCTTTTTATGTTGATATAATTTGGTACCACACAAATAAAAACCAATTTGATTTGACTGATAAAATAAGATTTAAGCTCCTTACTGTAATCTTAAAGTTCAGTTTCTGAGCCTTCAGAGTCTAGAAGTCAATCAAACTGTATATATGCAAAATATAAATTATATGACACAATACATTTTGAATGTTGCACTATAATGATTCAGGTAAGTGCCGGATTACAAGATGTTTTTCCCAGCCAGCATTTCTGAACTGATGTTTGTTGTCCGTCACCTTTGCGTTTTTTTAACTTTTGTTTTCAGTGATTGCAGCAATTATTTCTCAAGGATACTCACAGTGAACACCTTCTCTGGGTATCCTTTGGCTCTCATGTTTGTGTCATGAACTTGCTTCAGAATCATCCAGCCTTCATCATGCTTCCCATTCTGTTTTGAGAAAGAAATTAAAGACGTGTCACTTCTGACGAAGAAAACTTAAAATGCATCGATATTCCACCAACTTTTTCATCGGTAAAATCTCAAACAAGGTGTGGAGCTCTAAACAGACTGCCTGTCATCTGTTATGCACACCTCTAAGTAGAAGCGTGGGCTCTCAGGCATGGCGTTGAGTGCAGCGATGGCTGCAACAGAAGGAAACGCACAGACCAACACAAACACTCGCCAGCTGTGGAACTGATACGCTGAGCCCATCTGGAAGCTCCACCCTTGGAAGTAAAGACAAATAACAACAAAAGATATTTAACCAAACAAAAACAGGAAAATTTGTTACAACCAAAAGTGAATATAAAGTCAAAACTTGTATTGGTGAGTTAACTTGCTGAAACCCAATATAAATACAAAATATCTTGTCATTATTTGCTCATAGGAGTGAGTTTGAGCACACAAACAGTTTTTGCCAGTGACTGTGTGTAACATGCAATAATTAACCAGATGGTGTTTGGATGAAAATGGATCTCTGCAAAAATACCGCCTACATGTTTTGGATCATTTGGTGAGAGTAAACCAGATTTAGCAGCTCCACATATTTGATGTATGTTCACGTTACTGAGTCACTTGGTTAGTGGGTGTTATAAGTACCTCCATTGTTTGCAATAAATGTGACACTTGCTGAAAAAAACAAGCAATGCTGTTTTTGATTTTGAGTGAAAATGAGGGGTCATAGAGTAGGCTAATTAAACTTGCCTTACAACCACAAAGGGCTACAATGAGTTGAAAACAAGGCAAACCAGGATCCTTGCAAGATTACATAAAAATTATACTAATTTGCAAGTCGTAGTGCAGGCTTTAATCTTCCTTAAGGCCTTTGGGTGAGAAGAATTCTTGCATGTAAAACTAAAACAATTTTAAAAAGAATCACATCTAACAAAATGTTGGCAGAGTAGGGCAGCAGAATAGAGGTAACCTTTATACAAATGTATATATACATTCCTGTGTCTTGATCATTTGTATTTCCATGCTCACCATAGTGTGGGATGATGGCCCAGGCCATGGCGGACGCATAAATTCCTCCAATCATCCAGAACATGCAGAGCCAGCTGAGGTGCTCGCCGCGCTTCTCTTGGGACAGAAATTCAGAGTAGTAGGAGAACACGATGGGGATTGAACCACCAATTCTGTAAAAGTTAGAGTCCAAAGGTCAGCATTGGGGAGTACAGGAAAGTATAAATATTTTGAATTTATTCACTTTATACCCCAAAATGCCAGAATGCATTTTGGGTAGTGGTCCTTATTAACACTGCCACTGTCCTGGGTGTTTTCAGAAATTTTCCTGCTTCATCATATTTGTTTGCGATGAATGGATCAATAATCCATTTCTGCTTAGCTTGCTGACAGATTGAGGAGATATTCCAGCCATTTTAATCAGAAATGTTGCAGCAGGAAGTTATTTAAGACCACCGATATTATCTGGACTAGTGACACAAGACAACAGTGACTGTTGGGCAGTGAGAGTTTGACTCTTATGGTGTTTGTTTTGCTGTCTCATTCTGTACCAAAAAAACCTTCTATTGTTGCTTTAAATCATTCATAGTTGCTATTTATTCCGCTGCCAAGGACACAGACGTTTCTGATTTTGTTTAAAGAGTAAAACTTACCATGACTTCCTGGGCGTCTTTAAAAGGTTACAAATTCTTTTCAACTAATTTACCCTGAGCTGAACATCATCCAATGTTAATTTCCAGTCTGCTCGTAATAAATAACTTTATATGCGGCCTGTTTTGTCATTGACCTTTAGGAGCTTTGTTACTAGCCTTGTTGTACAGGTACATTATTCCCAGTGAGAGTTTTTTGTGGCTCTTTGCGCTAATAAACAAAAAGAGACAAGCAAAAACCTGAAACCCAGGAGCAGCTTGACCTTTAGATGATTGATCTGCCTGGAGCCTCGAAGAATCAATACAAAAATGCTGTTCTTTTTTAGTACATACCAGAATGTATCATTGTTGCTATTTTTCATTTAGAAACTCAAAAAACTAGGAATGAATTGAATATTGAATATTTATTACTGGCTGCCAGTAATAAAGTGGTTAGAGATTTAAAATCAATTCTTCTCTCAGTTGCCTGTCATGTGTAGACACAACAGTTTAAGACCATAGTCATGTCTGATTTATGGAAGAAAAACATTCTTCTAAGCAGCTTTAAAAATGAATGATGAAGAAGATTTTATAGGATTACGAAGTCTGGCTGCTTGGAAGCAAAATATAAAGACATAAGGGATGACTCGAGCTTCTTCTTCTGCCCTGTGTGCTCACTGAGTAGGTTATTGGTTGTAACTCACTGGGAATGATGTTGACCTTTCAATTCACCAGTTCAGTGAAGTGGAAAATACTGGAATAACAATAAAACTCTACATGACAAATACTGTTCTCTTAGGGGATATTGTAAGACAATTTTACATTGATTTGGCGTCATAAACTGGACACCCAAACATCAAAAATACTCTCTAGAGAGAGGAATTCACAAAAAGAGTTAAAGGTGCAATTACCCAACACCTGAGAGGAGGCGGCAAAACAGAAAAGTGCTGTAACCCTGAACGAAGGACGAGAAGAAGGAGAAGATGCTGTTGATGGACAGAGAGATGATGAGGGACTGCCGACGGCCTATCCGGTCCGCCATCGCCCCCCAGAGGAAAGCCCCAACCATCATCCCAAAATACACGATGAGGCCTGTCAGGAGAGCAAACAAAATGTGTTGGCTTTCAACATTTGATGTTTACATACTTGTTTCTATCAGCCAATTCTGAGCAAAATTACTAATTCGCTGTCTTATTAATCTTTGATATTATGTCCTTTACTTGTGTAGTGTTTGATTGCTACCAAGTGTGGTTGGAGCTTATTTCTAAGCTGAATTCTTACACTGGGGTTTATTAAATAAGGGAAGGTATGGATTCAAAACTCATTTGAAAGTAGGTTCTATACATTGAATAATGCTAATATGGTTCTGTAAATGCACTGTAAAAAAAAAAAAGAAGAAACTGAGTTTAAAGATCAACCGGGATTTCAACAAATAGGCCAAGATTTCTTCTTGATTGGGATTTTCAGTTTCAAATGCAGTTTCAAATAATATCATTTGCTGTGAAGTTGTTTGAATCTCTTTCCTGAAGCATCTTACACCAGCAGTTCGAAGGGATACGCCACATTTGAATTTAACAATTGAAATATTTGCCCTTACAAATTTGTTGTTCTGCATCAATTAAATTGCCATAGCTGGCTTGGCAGGAAAACAATCAGTAATATTTGGGAAATTACTTTTTTATCTTGCTCTTGTTCCTTCTCTAGGTTATCTCCCAATATTTTCACAGTGCATAAACCGAGATGGATCTATGGGAATCTATTTTTCAGGAAAGTGTGCGGCATCATTCCTGACAACGTAAGTCTCTAACCCATTAATTATAAATCAAACTAAGACCCCTGACGCAGCTAGAGTTGAAAACTCCCCAAAGACTCTATTGGTTTATGTGGAACCGACTCAAAATAATCAGTACACGTGTGAACAGTGTGATGAAGGAACATGTCGCCAAGCGCAACATTGAGTCACTGAGGTGTTTTAAATAGGACTTGAACAGGTACACTGGTCTCTGACACACAGGAGGACGTTCCCTCAGAAATGATCACCATTAGAGTCTTACCAAGCATGCTTTTGCTGGGCTCAGACAGACACATGTCCTTCTCTGCACTGGGGAGGACAAACCCCACCACGAAGATTTCCACGCCGTCGGCCATCAGTGCCAGCCCCAGCACGAAGTACAGGCTCCACTGGAACTTCCCGTGGCCACATTCCTGTAAGATGGTCTCGTACTGCTGAGCCAGCTCCTCCTGGTCCTTCCGCCTTGCCGCCTCGGACGCCCCGACATCTTTGAACTGCTGAGCCCCGGCTGTTATTGATCCAGGACCTCCGGCCAGGTCGCCTTTCCCAGAATCGGCCCTGGGGATTCCTTGGTACTCCCCCTCGTAGATCTCGTCGTCCTCGTCGTGGCCCTCGGTGGAGTCACTGTGGCCACCCTCATCGTCGTTGGCGGCCTGGCTGTCGCTGCGGTAGTAGCCTCCATCCTGGCTCCCCTGCATAGGGTAGTCATCATCCTCGTCCTCTTCAAAGCGGCTGTAGGACCTCCTGCTGTACTCGTCACTCATCCGATCCACCGAGCGGCCGACTTTCTTTGAGGCCTGCCGCTTGACTTCTTTCGCAATGTCTTTGGCACCTTTTATGAAAGCAGTCCGGTTTTGATAGCCGTCCTCCATTTTAAAGACAATTTAGAAGAAGCAATGGAGGGGAGAGGCCTCTGAAGGTGATGGGGGCTTCCTGTGTTCAGGACAAACCAGGAAGTCTACTCCCAGCTCACTTGATGTACTCCTGAGGAGACACCAGATATAAAGTGAAAAAAGGTTTTACACCACATAATTAAACCGTAGAACAATTGGACCTCTGCATGATTGAGAAGTCCTTCAGATGGCACCAGATTATGAAAACAACATCCCTGGGACTCCTGCAAGTCACCACATCATATCTGGATCAGTTCCAAGAGCCATTTGTAATAAGGGGGAAACCAGCTGCTTTCATAAGCGTGATCAGTGTGGCTTATGCTGATTGCCAAGGCTACTCAGGTTAGCTGAGATACAGGGGGAAAAAAGGCGGGACATTCAGTTTGGCTGTGAGAATCCGGACGAGTTTCCCCAGCACCCAGCTAATTCTGAGATGGGTTAGATCCTGCAGACTTTGTATCTGAATACCGAAGAGGTTAAGAGCTTCTTCTCTTCAAAGCTTTATAGATTACTTGCCTTTGCGTGTTTGCTGTAAGCCTAAGACTGTAGAGTTTTGCGTGGTGCAGCAGTGTGATAAATGTACCTGTACAGTATGAGCCTGCTGCGCCATAAAAATGAAAAAAAAAAAGACTGAGTTGAGTTCTGTAGTTGCATCATTTAGTAGTGTTTTTCATTAGGGCACACAAAATAACACAATCTTGCTTACCGAATACAAATAATTTCTAACACGTTATCTGCACAAAGCAAAATGTGCAAAACTTGTGCTCTGTTGTTACAAATTCAAGTGTAGGTTTAGCTTCTACATGCTAAGCCTACCGTGTAAAGATGATATCTTTGTTCATCCTCAAGCAAAGCTATAAAGTCTGCCTTATCTTAGTTGTGTTTTCCAGATAGAACCACCTTTAGATTAAACCTGATGCTTTCTCGCATCCACACAGTGTCTGCCAAGGTCTTAGCTGTAATTGCAAGCCAAATCATCTGGCCTCAAACAGTACATGGTTTCTGATGGAAATGTTGTGGATTACTCAATTCGAGGTGACAAGCAACGGTGGGGAATTCGAACGAAGCACACTGTGTTGTGATCGTGATCCGTGAAATCTCCAAATCTAGCACTAAAAGACGATTTTCCACACAGTTAAGGAAGAAAACCTGAATAAGTGAGTCAGAGTGAGCCAGTAGCTCGGCTTTGTTTCATCGGTTAAATGTCATGTTTGACAATATTTAATTAGCAGCAGAAAAGCAAAGTAATAAATTTGCCAAAGACGTGTGCAACAGCAAATGAGCCCTGAAATTAAGAAGAAGAAGAAGCTGGCAGTCAGACTCCTGATTCCCCCCCATCTGCTGTGACATCACATCTCCAATAAATGTCGCAGTGTAAAGACCGTTTTTTTAGGGCACCAACTTGTTCTTGCATTTGCTAGATGAGCCCCACATCAATATGTTTATGTACTAGCACACTGAGCCTGGGGTGACTGTGCAATGAGACGAGATGTCACTTTGAATTTGTGCTGCAGCGAACAAGCAGACAGACGATGATGAGATGTCGCTGCACTTTCACCGGTGCTTCAGAAACAAACTCTGACAGGTAATAACAGTCCTGAGAGTGCTTCTCAACAGTAAGCAGGTATACAACACACAATGAACCAGAAGACGCTTTGAAATACTGATGGGACGGCTCCACTGACTTGCCATAAAAACACCTGCTGGCCTCCTCTAATCTATACAATTTCTTCTGTTCATTTAAGTTGCTGGACTCAAATTTGCCGGATATTTTTACAGTTTCTAGTTGATTCTAATTGGTCGGCCTCTTGGCTCAGATCCGACTTTAGAGCAAAATCCACAAATGAGCAAGAGCGTCAAAATCTTGCTCATTTGGAAGTCAAAGTTTTGGAAAATGTCAAAGTTTCTATTAGGTGATGCGAGGTGAAGTTAAGAAATTTTAATGTGGGCCTCCTTCTTCATTATTCAACCAATCAGCATAATGCTGCCACCACCATGCTTTTTAAATTGCAACACTGATCTTACATTTGAAAGCCTCATCTTGGCATCTTCAAGCATGGTTGTTGTTACTGAAAATATGCATTTATGACAAGCCCATCATTTAAAAGACCTCAATGTGACTTGGTTAGAATTAACATAGTACTACTGCTGACTAATGTTAAAAACTCCCAGTTACATCAAATGTTAGAATAAATCTTCCTTAAGGCCTGGGTGAGAAGGATTCTTGCATGTCAATCCAAAGTGCCTCAGGTTTCAAAAGTAACGTTTCTATATCAGTCTCTGTAAAATTATTTCACGAAATCCTGATCAATTTCCTTTGATCGAAGACTGATAGTTTGTGTTGGAGAATTAGACTCTTCAAAAGCTAAGAATGTTGAAACATGGTGGTGGAAGTATCATGCTTCAGTAATGAAAGCTGGAAAATGTCTCAAATTTCTTGCTTTTTTTTTGGCTGTTGAAAATGAAAAAAGATTCTTTTTTTTTTGTTGTTTAAATACACACAACTGAGTGCTGCAGGAAGAGTTGCGAACTAGGTTTTAAAATGATGAACTAAGCTTTTAGTAAGAGGACAATAAAGCCCTGACTTTATTTGCATTAAAGTTTTATGACCTGTGGTTAAAAGCCATATCTAAGCCAGGGAACCAACCAATTTCAAAAATCATCGTCATTTCTTTTTACCAGAATTAAGTCAGAAGCTTTTAAATTGCTAAAAAAAAAAAAGTAACAATAATTTTAAAAAGTATGTGATTTAGATGAAACCTGCAGTACTAATTTCAACCAGTGTACACTGATCTTCTATGTTTCAAACCCCCATGCATTAAAGAAAATCTGCAATCAGCTGAACTGTGTGAACCAAATTTTCCATTTTAGTATTTTGAACATGGTCATTCCATCCTGGAAAGAAAAAATTAACATAAAATGAATACCTTAAAACTAAAACTAATGATAATAATAATAATTTGACATTCATATCGATGGTTGAGTGCTTCATCCCTCATTTTTTCCTCGTGTTTTCCACAAGTCAGACCAACCAGGATGTATCAAGAACTGATTTCACTGTGAAATAAATGACTACTCTACTCTTATGCGAGCTTCTGCGTGTGTGTTGATTTAATTATGTGTTATGTTTCGTCCTGGGCTGCATTTCCAGCCATGAGGCAGCAGATTTCCCTGTCAGCATGACGAGAACAGATCAAAGGAACCCAACCAGGCCTGGTCAGCCAGGCTAAACTGAAGGACTCAAACCTAATAATAACCCCAGATGGACGCAATAATCACACATCCATTATACCAGTTCCTGCACCCAAAAGGTGTCTTACTTGAACAAAATTGGGAGTGCTTTCCTTTAAGCATGCAGAATATTTTATGTGGTCATACAGTTTAATTTTAGTTTAGGAGAAAGAATGCTTAAGGCAGAAATTCAAGTTTCTGGTTCAAGAATTTGGATATTTTGATATATTTCAACTTCTGCGTAATTTGTGTACTGATGGCACTTAACATCTCACTTTAAGAGGTTTAAAATGGGTCAAACAATAAACCTTTTTTTTAATTTTATTTTCATAGTAGCTAATACTAAAGCCTTTATATAAACAAGAACAGCAAGTAGAGATTTGGTTTCAGTGTTATTTTCTTATTTCTGTACTACTGAATATGGCTCAAAAAGAATACATTCTCTTCAGTTTGTATCCCCATTTTGTTCTCAAATGTTGTTTCCCACTTGCAGATCATTTCCTTCAACCATCCATTTCTTCACTATGTACCTATTGACAAACACTTTATTTCTCTTGATGGTAATCTATTGTAGAGATGAATAACTCTGAAAATCCTCCATTTTCAAGTATGAATAGTTTTTCTAGAGTCAATTCCATCCAACTTCTAGATGACCTCATACATCATAATCCATCATCGAATCAAAATACATCTGGTAAAATCCTAGATGTTGGAGTCGGTTTAGCTACTTTTTCTCCCAGTGCACTCCGAGTAGAGCATAGAGAATTACTTTAAGATACCGGTGGACAAAGTGGGTACAAAATGTCCCCAAAACATCTGATTGCAGGAGTGGCGGAAATGTTGTATGTTTCATTATGGCTGACCTTTTAAATGACTTTAAGCCAATTGTGATTTCATCAAGGGGATAATATATGCTGAGAGCAAGCAAAGAGGAAGTTGCTAAAGAAATTGTGTAGTTCGAGACAGAATTGATTTTAAATCACAGTCTGTTTGGAGAGTGTCTCGCTAGTTGTGGGTACATTCAGAAAAGTGCTATAAAAGACAGTTTGAAGCTTGAATAGCTCATAGTGCTTGGATTTGATGTAATGCTCTCTCTCTCCTTTGTGCAGCAAGCAATAATAAAGCTCAGGACTCAGGAGGACTGTCTCAACCATCTTGGGTTTTTCCATTTCAGGTGACGAGAAGAAAGAAATCCACTACAAGAAAAAACTGGAAAAAAGTATCGCCACAAGAGAGAAAGAATACATGTGATAGATAGATAGATAGATAGATAGATAGATAGATAGATAGATAGATAGATAGATAGATAGATAGATAGATAGATAGATAGATAGATAGATAGATAGATAGATAGATAGATAGATAGATAGATAGATAGATAGATAGATAGACAGACAGACAGACAGACAGACAGACAGACAGACAGACAGACAGACAGACAGACAGACAGACAGACAGACAGACAGACAGACAGACAGACAGACAGACAGACAGACACTCAGCTGAGAGAAAAGGAAGAGGAGGAAGGCCTGACGATGATGAGGAGTAATGATAGCTATATTTTTTTCTTCAGACTGACAAGCCTCCATTAGTTTCTCCCTCTTGCTTGTCCTCCATTAAAAAAAACCAATCAATATCAGCTTTATAGTTTCCCTGCAGGGCCGACCAGAACAACCTGTCTTCACATCACGCATCTTATTTATAGTACAGAGATTCCCGTCCGCTGAGTGGAAATAAATCATCTGGACACCTGATAACATCACAAAAGCCAAAGAAAGCGCTAAAAATGTTCCTGAAAGGCTCCACTACCTGCGCTTATATTTATAACAGCAGGATGAAATAAAGAGCAAATATGTGCAACAAGATGTCTGTGTGTACATATATTAATATATAGCTATATATAAAGGCCGCTTACGTCGCTAACAAGGCCAATTTCGCGCCGCTCGAGCGCCAAACGCGGCCAAACATCTCCTGACAGATGCGCTCATTCTGAGAAATCACAGCAGCCCCGTCACGACTTGGATCAGATTCTCTCGATTCACAAAATCGATCCTGATTTCAGCGTGAAGCAAGCCGCTGGTGAGCACGCCCCGTCGCTCTTTTCACATTCTGTCTCAAATGCGTCGAGAAAGAAAGAAAGCGCACACGCAGAGGAGAGGGGGAGAAGTGGGGGTGGGGGTGCCCGCCGCTTCAGGAGGCCACGAGCGACTCAGAGGTTTAATTAGTGTTAAATGGATGCTTACCGTAAATCCCGCAAGCGCCCCTCTCTGCAGCCCGGAGACAGCGAGGAAGAGGATGGAGGAAGCTGTTGCTGTGAGCCGCGTGATGATGCTCCGTGTGTGCGCTCTGGAGAAGGGAGAAGCCCACGCCGTCCACGCACACTCTGTGATGCGCAGGGCTCCCACCTCCGCCCCTCCTCCATTAGAAACCCATCACGAGCGCACTTCATATTCAGTGAAAGGTCTTTCGGCGCAGATGTGCGCAAGATTGCACCTTTTTTTTCCCCCCCCCTTCTTCTTCGTCTTCTTTTTTTTTTTCAAATAATTCGTCTTGATGCATAAAATGTTTTTATACCCGTCTATGTGTGTTCAGCGCATTAACACACACATTTATTTTATTTTAATTTTTTTGCAAACACCATTATCTCCAGACATTAACATCATCGTTGTGTCGACGCGCATGTGCAAGCGCGCCTGACTCCTGTTACCATGCCAACCACTTCGCTGTTCCTCGAGTCTGCACGAGGAAGATGCGCCATGTGAAAAATGTGAACCTCTTCTTCTTCTTCTTCTTCTTCTTCTTCTTCTTCTTCTTCTGGGGACGGAAACATCACATTTCCTTGATGTTGACGGGAAAACCTGCAGCAGCATAATGGCGGAGTTCAAAAAGTTTCAGAAGCTTTTGTTTCCCCAACATTCGCTCCAATTTTGTTGCAAGAATTATTAGTTCATTGATTTCACGCGAGTCTATTTTACTGTTGCGCAACTTTTGGACAATGCCATTAACGGAACATTTGTTTAATTGAGAAGCATGAGCAATTCTTTTACTATTACTCTTAATTGTCCGGAAAAGTGCCAACATTTGAATATTTTTAATATTTAAAAATACTAAAATATTCTAAAAAAAAATGATTGAATGCTTTATTATTAAGCATTCAATCATTATTACCCACAATCGCAGATAGTTGGGACATGACTTATACAGAATATGAAAATTTACAAAATACCCTATTAATATCTTAATTTATCAATCCTTAAATTAGAGTAGAAACTGGGCATCGTTTGGAATTGTAGCGTTTTGATGAAAAGAAATGTTTGCATGTGATAACTTCTGAAACAACTTCTCACTAAATATTTTAATCAGCACAGTTAAGTGTAGTTTGCAAAGTTAAGTGTCGTTGCAAAGTAACTCTGGACACGTTTAATCTTCAGACTTTTAAATGTAGTTTTAATTAACATTTATTTACTCCATGTTGAAGAGATCCATCCAAACATTATATTGCCAAGTTATAGCTGGAAAACAAGGACAATCTAGAAAAATGTACCTTTTATACAACGAATGACTGTGTGATGCTGCTGTGCAAATAAGCTCCCATCTTTCGCAGAGGTTTACGACAGGATTCATGCTGGCATATTTCTTGAATCTATTAAGTTTTTCAGGTAATTTTGTTATAGTACATGGAATCTCAAAACTTGAACGTTAGTCGATGCAACAAAATTTTCAAATTTCAAATGTTTCTATGCACACTTCATACATGAATCTTAAAGGAGCAGTTTTAGGTCGTATCAAATTTTGCACTTTAACGTTCAAATATTCCAGGCTGAACAGAACATCTTTGTATTAAATGTTGAGTATTATACAAAAGAATACAATTAAGATAAACTCTCAATACTGAACTATTAGAAAACATGACGTATTTAATAGAAGTCTAGTCCAGACATTATAAGCCCAACCGCAGCTTCCACTCTTAAAATCATTTGTTCTTTGCTTCATGTCTGGCCCTTTCTGATAATAAAACCATAAATTACTACCTTTATTGTCAACACCTTTCCTTTCTCTCCGTGACCTGGTAAAATGTCACAGCAGGACAACGGTGAATACAACAAGCTCATTAATTCTGTTCTCAGAACCCACAATACTGCCAACAGATTTCTGGAATAAGAGTCTTTAGTTGCTAACCAGATCAAAGATTGCCATAATTACACAGTGGGGTGTGCAATTCATTAATTTAAACCCTAAATGATTGCAAAACAATAAAATAGACAAAAAAACATGTCCACATTTTATATTTAATCATTTCAAACTTGATGAATCTTCACGCTGAGTAATCAGACTTTTGATAAAAGAAAAAATGCAATGATTTTCTTTCTCTAATAGATCAAGAACCAAACAAAAACACCCAAAAAATCCATTTTAGTAAAAATTTATTTGCCAAGTTGCATTCATCTGTACAATGATCAAACAAATATTAAAAAACAAATAAAGAAAACACTAAAGCTACAGGAGTAGCCCTGAACATGTTAAAAAAAAAATTAAAAATTAAAGTTAAACAGCAGCTGCCTCATGCTGTCCACTGTGGATCACGGTGCGCTTAAGGCACCCGAGGAGGGGCGCCTGGGGGCCTGGGTGGCATCGGAGGCGCTCTCTGAAAACCAAAGGGAGGCGGACGAGGAGGACCAGGAGGAGCGGCGCCGTAGCCAGGCGGAGGCATGGGAGGAGGAGGCCCTCTCATACCTGGAGGCACAGGAGGAGCTGAGGGCAACAAAAAGAGGGGTTACAACATGCAGCATTAGGAATTACAGCATTTAAACCACAAACAAGCTGTGGTTCTGATCTGAAGCGCATTTAGACTTTTAGCATTTAGTTTCCATGGTCCTCCACTCTGGAGCAAACTTGCTGAAAACCTGAGATGTGCAGAAACTATTTGCTCTGTAGAATCAGGACCAAAACCTAATTGTTTACTGATGAATTTGATTAAAGCGTCTCACTAATTAACTGTTTGCCTGGCGACTATTGGTGACTGCAGCTTGAGATGGAAGATTAGGTTAACATTTGGTTCTCATTAGACGACGCTTTTAAAAGCTTTAAGAAGTTTGTTTTTTTTCTTTGATTTCCTGTAAAGCAGTTTGGGTTGCCCCACATAAGAAAAAGTCAAACTTGGCTCGCCTTGCCATTAGATTAGGTAATTTATTTATAAAAAATAAAGAAGATGTTTCTAGGCCTGTCACGATAACAGATTTTGCTGGGCAATATATTGTCTCAAAAATTATTGCGATAAACGATAATATTGTTTGAAGACCTTTTTACATTGATTTAATGGAAATTACATAATAATACATGCGATTTCCTGTCACAGATAGATGCACTTTACTTTCAAAAGAACACTTAACACTGGGACTGATACACAAAATAAATAAAACAACCAAAGCCAAAAATAATATAGATTCTTAGTCTCAATTAACAATAAATGTACTTGAATAAAAACTAAACATAAAGCCAAAGTGGAAATAAACACTGCATTCAACCAAAAGAGTGCAGATTATGAAGTCTGTATAGTTTATTGCCCTTCAGTAATCATTAGATTTAAATAGAGAAGAATCCGACTGCCTGATGCAATAGTTCAAACTACAAAATTTTTTACCCTGAACGACAATCTTAGAACGTTCTTCGTTCTAAGATTGTCCCTTGTGTGTTACGGTAGATCTTTGTGGCCGCTCTGATCTAAATCAAGGATTTATCCAGACTGGGAGAGTGACGCAACCTGTTGAATGTGACCGGTAGCCAATCAGAAAGCGCGGATTCTCCTCGTGCTTTCTGAGGGGAAACACGGAGGGAATCCCGAACAGCTGACACGGTGCAACCCGAAGTCCAGCGGACATCGGAAACAACATGAATGTTTATTCAACAGTTCGTGCAAAAAAAATATAACTAACTAGGGGAAGAGTTGGAGCGAAATTTCTACCAGAAAACCCGGTAACTTTTCAGCTGTTCTTTGTTAACGTGACATAAATAGGTGATAATGATTTTCATTCAGTCAGACTGACACTCGCCACATGCATTGCAGGTAGATTGTAGTAAGGAATTGATTAATGCATAGTTTCAAAATTAGTGAACTGGGCTTATTTTGTGTCCATTCTTGGACACAACACGGTTTCGATCGAACCGTTATAGATAGGCTTTCTGTGGCTAATGTGTCTCTCAGGTTTTGATAATGGGTCGACAATCCGCGACATCAGATGGTGCAGCGCGCTGGGCATTACACTAAGGAAATAAGTGGACGAAATCAGTGGAGAGCATCGGAGTTGAGCCATTTTTCATTCAGTGTCATCAACAGTAAGAGATGACACGATATAGCCAATAATTAAAATGAGGTCGATAGTTTTAACTTATCGTGCGATTAATTGACTTATCGTTTATCGCGACAGGCCTAGATGATCCAAAACATTCCTGATGTACGCTGTAGGTTAAGATGCAAGAGCAGCATTCACCCATGGGGTATGGCGCCCGGGGAGGCATGCCCATTGGTGGTGGCGGCATGTTGGGGGGCAGCGGAGCCCTCTGAGCCGATCCTGGAGGAGCAGGAGGTGGAGGCACCATGCCAGGAGGAGCAGGAGGTGGCATGGGCATCTGAGGCATACCTGTGGAACAAAATGAGGAAATAGTTTTCTCTTGATTTCCTTGACAGGGAATGAGAGTTTCAGCTGCATCTGGAAACCCCAAGTTTTACCTGGAGGCATGTTGCCAGGAGGGAACGGTGGCGGTCCAGGTGGAGGTCCTCCGGCAGACACTGGTGGAACACCTCCTGCTGTTGGAGGCATGGCCATAGAAGGTGGCATTGATGGGGGCATCGTTCCAGGAGGGGGAACAGGAGGAAACGCACCATGAGGCGGGAGACCTGTACCGAAAAACAAAATAAAAAGGAGTTAAACTGAATGTTGGACAAATGTTCAACAAAAAAAAAAAAATAGTTCTGCAACACTGAAAAATTCTTTAACTCGACACAAAATTTGTACCTGGAATGGAAATAGCTGTTCCCATTGCAGTGAGGACTGGTGTTGGTGCAGACGGTGGGGGCGGAGCGTCGGCGAACAGCTGGTGCGGCCTGTCGGCCTGGGAGAGCGGGTTCTGTGCAGCCAGCAGTCGCTCTGCAGCCGAACCGTGGCGTTCCCCTTTGGAATCCTTTTTAAATGCGTATGACACCGTAATGGGCCTGTTGCAGAGGTACTGGCCGTTCATGGCCTCGATAGCCGCGTCCGAAGCGTCAAAACTGGCAAAATTGATGAAAGCGTAACCCTTAGAGTTGCCTGTGTCGGGATCTCGCATGATCTTCGGTGTTTGGAGGATCACACCAAACGCACTGAATGTGTCGTAGAGAAGTTTTTCATCGATCTCCGGGTCCAAATTACCGATGAAGATGTTTGCACCGACGTCCAGGTTTTTGTTGTGTGCTGAGGCCTTATTGACCCTAATTGGTTTGCCATAGAGTTTTATCATATTCATGATTTTTATGGCATAATCAGCATCCTCTTCACTAAGAAACTCCACAAAGCCATAACCTGAGAAAAATAACAGTTGCATTTCTTAGTGACTGTCACAAAAACACATCGTTCTTATTTCTGACCAATAAAACTAACTCTGTTCCAAGCAATACATGTTCAAACATCATCGTATGCAGAGTCCAGCCGTGTTGTGAGCTACACTACATACTTTTTAAAACTGCATTTCTCTACTTCAGACACAGAAAGGACACATGCGTCCAGATGCATATGTATGCATGTTTTACTGTCCACTGAGAAAAACAGCCTGTAAGTTGCCGCTGACCTTGATGTTGACCAGTGACCCGGTCTTTGGGCATGTGTGTGTTGACCACAGGACCGGCCTGCAGGAACAGCTCCCACAGTAACGGCTCTGACACCTTCTCATCCAAGCCTCCGACATACACAGTGGCATCTGAAAATTGACAAGAAAAAAATTGCTGCAATTTACACTTTTCACAGAAGAACGGTATTGTATTTAACATCTTGGAAGAGTGTTTATCAGGTTGTACATCTTACATTTTCAATAAGACTCATCTTTCATCGACATAAACCTTTTCTTGCTAATTTGGTTTTGATAACCGCTTTAAGTTTTAGAACATGGCCAATTATATATCTCGGGAAACAAATCCAAAGGGATTTGGAAAAAAAAACAACTAAATGACAATACTACTCATTATGCAAAAGATCTAAATACCAACAGGCATTAGTTAAAAAGAAAGAACTAGTTTTCTTAATCACAAAATTATCTGCTGCTACCGTTTTTACAATACCTTCACAATTTTTTACCACAATACTCGCTGTGCAGTCCGCTTAAAACCAGCTATTTGTTAGGATTAGCAGCTTCGAGGCATTAGTCTCCTATTCAGAATGAAAATTTTGACTTGTAACTTGCTGAAAATATTTCTAACATTCATAATTACATTATTGGCGGTTTATTTTATCCAGCTGGTAAAACAGTGAACAAGAGATCAATACAGTCAATTTACTAAGGCTTATGAGTGGCGCTAAATGCTATGACGTGCTAATTCTCTGAGCTAGCTTTATATGCTAAAAAGCAGCAGTTTGACATTGTCATAACCTGCATTACAACTTACAGTACCATTGTGCTTCTGTTTGATACGACATGTAAATTGCATTTCTTACGTATTAAAAGAAGCTAACTAGCAAAATGCTAAGCTAACAACTCTTCAAACGCTTCCATGTGTTCAAGCGAATGTTTTCCACTAAACGACACTAAAAAAAACACATAGAAATTATATTATGATTTACTCATCAGTACACATCAAAACAAATGAGAGATATTCACCAAAAATATACTTTAAAAGATGCAATTACCTTGATTTCTTTCCGAAATCGGTCCCGCTGCCATGTTGAATGAACCAACGCCGGAGTAGCGTTGAAGACGGAAGCCCCGCCTCTTCCGCTGCTGTGCTTAGAAATTTTCAAAATAAAATATATTAAAATAAAATAAATAAATCATATAGTATACATTGTCATATAATACATTGTTACATCCATACATAACAATGTATTTCCGGTTTGAGATGGATACACAAGTTTATTATTTTAAGATACTAATAAAAATACAACAATTATCCCCATTTTACTCTGTTTACTCCAACATATATGAAGAAGATAGTACAAAACAAACCAAGCCACATTTTTATTATTAACTGATTTAATACATATCGATACAAATCTAGTAAACGTATATAAACACAGAATACAAAAACTTCATATAAAATACACACAATTAGGCTTCAAATAGCTGAATATGAAACGTACAAAAACAAAATCTAAAGCTTCATGCATCAAACCCAAGAGATTAAAAAAGGGTTCATTCATTTATAAAATGTGTAACAACTTCATATTAACAAAAAAATCCTTAAGCATAAAAAGGAAAACTAAAAGGCCTTTGTACGAAGATATTTTGGACTGGCTTGGATATAAGACAACACTTGATGGGGATTTTTATTTTAAAAAACCAAAGTGAATGAAAAGAAAGAAAATCAATATCTCATGTCTTTTAAACAAATCCATTAAAATGTTCTTATACTCATTATAAATCTTTCATATTTTTAATAAATCACTAAAAACCCACGAGACATATATTGTTTAAGCAAATATAAAAACTTACAGAAACAAAGTTACATTAAAACTGGCATATAAAGGGAATTTGGCATATAGAGGTAAATGTGTTCATTTAATTTTAACTATTAAAAAGATCATTTGTAATCCAAAGAAGAATCTTAATAGTCAAAGAAATACTTTTTCTACAAATGCAAACAGGTCAGGCCAAAAAAACTAAGACGACAGGGAGTTTACAATTCAAATAAGAAAATTATATTTAAATTATAATTTCAGTTTTGCCTGAATATGCAAAACAGTATCAACCACATTCTTCCATTTAGGCTAAAGTATGTTTGCTGGTCTCTGGAATTAGGATGGTGTAATGAATTTAACTAAACATTTCAGTGTTTTACAGGTCCCAACAAAAATGTTTCCAATTTTATAAAAAAAAAAAAAACAATCCCAAATGAAGGGAAAACAAAATAAAAACTCCCCTGCCTTTAATGACAGTCAATTGTTCCTTCATGTTTTTAATTTGCCATCTCCAAAAAAAGATTAAGGCAACATGTTTCAGCTGTTGGGGATTTAACCTTTAGGAGCTGAGAATGTGACTCCTTGCGGTTTTAGTTTGCTTTTGGGCCACATTTTTCTTAAACTGGAGCTACGACTTGTCCATTAAACACTTTCCTTGTCAACATCCAGTCTTGGGAGAGTTTGGTTAAAATGTCTTAATCCTTCTAGCTTAGAAATAGTTAAGAAACAAAAGCATGCAAAGAGTTCAACTTCATTCATCATCTGTTGGCTTCAAATGGTTCAAAAAATAAATTCTGCATTAAGTATTTTCAACAAACACACAGAAACAAAAATATATATTCAGGTCCAAGTTGATATTCTGACCTTCCTCATCTATGGCCAAAACATGGTAAAACAATCCATTTTCACCACTGACCTTTTGCTCAGCATTTACAAAGTTGTGCATGCTGTAAAATTATCCATTATTGTGTAACAGAGTTGGTTTGTCAGTCATAAAGTTGATAGCACGCTATAATATACATTCGACTAGTATCAGGGTCACAAATCAGACAAAAACACTCTAAAATAACCACAACCATTCACACACGGAAACACCAAAACACAACAAACACTTCATTCTCTGTATGATCTTTTAAAAACTGAACAGTCAAAGTCAAAAGTACCCAATATATTGTAATTGTAAATTTTCTCAAACGCTAGATATATTGTAATTGTTATTGAGAAAACTACCTTGACAAAGAGATCCTCTCTATGCTTTTGTTTGTGATACTGATCACATATAATGTATAGGGGGGAAAAAACACCCTCAGTCTGGATCTGAGCATCATGTATGTTGGAGTTTATGTGTAATTTAAGACCCTGACATTAAATGATCAACCACAAGGTTTTGCTTGAGTAAATGCTACAAACCCGACTCGGCGTCGCCGTTTGAAATGCTTTAAGGCTTGTCTGAATGATACCACCCTGAACCTTTATCCCTCAAAACAAAGTTACCCTGACCTCTCGATCTCCATTGGGCTGGTCTTCGTCTGCCTTTGTGTAAGACTTGTGGTTGGTGCCAACGTGGTCACTCAACCTCAGCAGGACCACTGCAGCCACTGTTAGAAACTGTTGCCTGCTAAATCTGTTAACTTCCTGTTGCAACACTCAAACTTCCTTCCACACTGGGAGAGGCTGCTCCAGATTGCAATAGGAAACTGTGAATTCAGGGCATGAATTACAAACTCTATCCCAGTGCTTGTGCTCTAAACGAGTAAAAATGTTCAAACTTGGCGGAAGTTTTCTCTGCCCAGCCACCTGAGTGTGAAACACAGTAAAATGAGCTCTTTTCTATAATAATAATAACAATAATAATAATAATAATCAATAATAATTTTATAATAGCTACTCTCTGCATTACATATAAAGTCACACTGTGGCTGTTCAAAGTTGTAACTGTAGTGAATTATTTAACTGCATCTGTAGCAAAGGAGAGATTGGGAAAACAACCTTGCCCTCTGCCATAAAAATTAACTTGAAATTGCTTTTATTTTCTGAAACAGAATTTTAAAACCTCCAACTCATGAAATAATGCAAGATTAAAAACAGTGTCTTTCCCAACAGACTATCCAAAGGAGAAAAAGGGATTTAAAATTCAACTAAATTGAATAATTTTTCACTATTTCACTATAAACATCCATAAAGAAGGTTCAGGGTGGTATCACTGCTACTTGTGACTTTTTCCCATCTGATTTTTTCCTCCCCACCCCTTGGTAATATTCCCTCCATCACATCCAAAACCAGAAACAAATGTAACACAACATACAACAAAGGAGAAAAAAAAAACAAAGAGCCCTGTCCATTCTCTGACGCAATGCCAAGCTTTACAGGCAAATAATAAAAAAAAGCATCCTGTGGTTACTAGGCACAACGAGTTCAGTAACAAGTGTTTTCTTTCATAAACAAAAGCGCGAGCTGAAGCTTGATTTCCTGATCCTCGTCACAAAGCACATCTTAGAAAGTGATCGACACCATTACCAGGCCTCCTTCACCGTGGCGAGGCGGTTGTGTTTCAGTGCGAGGGCAGAGTGGCGGCGTTGGCGGCACTGAGCTGGCCCACAGCCAACATCAGGATGTCCTTCTTTTCTTTGTAAAACCGCAGTTCTCTGCCTGCCAGCCTGGCGTCCTCCAACTCCCGCTCCGTTGAGGCCAGCTCCTGAGCGATGGTTCCCGCCACGCTCTGCTCCCGGTTCACCCAATCCGCCGCCATCTGGGTGCGCATGTCGTCGTCCAAGGCCCGGTGGGAGTAGTGAGCCAGCACCTCCTGCAGGTTTGAGCATTAGAAGGAATTTTTGCGGCTTTAGATGATCTTGGAATACATAATAATCTATGTTTATTTTTTTTATTCTTTTATTTGATGAGGGTCCATCTGAAAACACTGGGGTAGGAGTTTATGAGTTTCTCACTACTTCCTACTCCTTTTCGAGCATGTTGAGATTATTGCGGTACAAACATATGTGTCTTTTGCACTCCTTGATCATGTGTGTGATTTTTATACTTTGATCAATTTCAAAATTAATCACTCTTGTTTTTGTTTAAATCAATAAAAATAATCCACTTCAGCGCAAAAGTCGGCTTTGTAGCAGAAAACCAACCAGTGCAAAGGAGCTCCACCGTTTCTGATTTAAGGAGTGCTTAAAAAATCAGACAAAATTACGCCGAAATATTGTCGAGGGCTTCAGAATGTGTGGTTAATCTGGGACATTTCTGCATATGTTTTTTGGTCCAAATGCAAACGTTTGACCCTGAGTGAATTAGAAACTATTCTGTTTTATTTTTACATTAACAATGTTCAATTAATAATGCAAATGTAGGGTCCTTTATTTGATGTTCACCCTGCTCATACTGTGAGGTTTCTTGTTGCAAACAATTCAAATAATGTACTGAAGTTTGCTGCGCCTGTAAAGTCGTTCAGGCTGAATTTTTTCCCTCTGAACCGTCTAAACTTTCAAAAACCTCCTCTGTCATGTTCATTTTCATCTCTCCAACAACACAACTGCTGTCAATGCTGGGAGAAGTAACCGTGTTACCTGGAACAGTCCCTTCACTTGGACCATGATTTTATGTATAATTTGTCTTGTGTAAAAAAAATAAACAAAAAAAGCCAAGTTACACCACAGCAAAAACCCAGCTGTGTGTAATTGGTGCCATGTGTGAGACGGGTACCTGTCGGGAACACTGTCGCTCTCTCATGGCTTTGAGGCTCCCGTTCCAGTGCAGCAGCTGGAACACAGTCATCAGCTCCTGCAAACAAGCAGGAGTTAGAGGGGAAAAACTTGCTCACCGGGCATTCAGTGCACTGCACACTGAATTCAGATTCCTGCTTTCAACAAGGTGCCCATTTACCAGCTTCAAAGTTTCTTCTTCTACTAAACTGAACGGCGTAAAGTGAGTCTGACTGTAGAGCTTCTGCGTACTTTACAGAAAAGTATCCAGACGTTTCCCAGACTCAGCACAACGGTCCTTTATGTTCGTTTTCAAATAGAAAACACTAAAGTTCATTGAACACAAAAGACAAAAAGGAAGGAATGAAGACAAGACACGAGTAAGGAAGCAAGAAATGAACGACGGACTGGAAGAACGAAGAAATTAAGAAACAAAAGGACACAAGAGGTGATACTCATAATTACTTCAGGAAAAGAAGCAAGCAAAAAAAAACAAAAAAGGGGAGAAGGGGAAAAAGGACAGACACAAGTTTGACTTAAAAATAAGGTCCACAAGGAAGAAAGAAAGGAACTGATGGAAATAATGACAAGGAGGGGAAAAAAGAAAGACACACAGAAAGGAGAGACCAGCGATGGAAGCACTGTTTTCAGGAAGAGCATAAGGAATCAGACGGACAGAAATCAACAAATAAATGAAGAAAAAATAAAGAAACAAACAAATTTTAAAAAATGGAGCAGAAAAGAAAAATACCATTATACACCAGGATGGATAGAATATGGAATAAAACTTGGAAAAACAGATTTTTCCATCCTTAAAATCGTTATCCAGACTTGAAAAAACTGAGATCCCATTATGTCCTTTCCCTAAAAGGAAACCTGAATTATATTGAGGTCTAACATTACCATCTTATCACCATCCATGATGTGTTTCTCTTACCTGGAACTCCAGCATGGACTTTCCTTTGTTGGACTCCAGCATGAAGCGGAACGCCCCGATCCCGGTGTTGGGGTTATCGGCCTCTTCACGGTTCCCCTGCGAACACACAACGACGGTGCAGAATAAATCTATGATGACCCAAAGAAAAATACAATAAAAACACAAAACAATCAAGAGGGAATTTTTCTTTTCAATTCTCATTTTCCATGTTTTGTCCCCGTTGAGGAAACCTTAAATTCAGACTGGCATGGCGGCTGCAGCTCTCTCCGTTTTGAACTTACGTTGAAGGAGGCCAGCGCTTCATTCACGCTCTTCTCAATAAAGTCATCCGTAATCCGACGGGAGGGGTGCTCGTTAAAGACGGAGTTCATGAGGGCGATCTTGGCGGCGCTGCGCCTCGCCTCCGCCTTGGTCGGACAGAACTGTCAAACAGTGAAAGAAAACACGCGGAGTCAGGGCAATAATGAGAGCCAGAGAGACCGAGGCAGAGCAGAGCAGTACCGAGGAGGTTATCCGAAATGCAGCTCATTCCCAGATGTCCCTAAGCAGAAATGTATATACATCTTTAAATCTTTTAATAGCCGGGGAATCAAAGCGCTGGTGTTGCACCTGGAAGCTCCCGAAGCAGCTGCCGCCTGGAAGGCTGACGTAGCAGACGTACGGCGGGCTGTTGGACGGGACCATTTCATAAACGACCAGAGCTCCGTTCCTCAAGTCGGCCCCTCTGGTCAGCTTCATTTGCCAGAACTCCTGCAGAGCTTCCACCACGTTCACTGAGGGGACAGGGAGGACGGAAAAGCTTCATTAAAGCCACTTTGTCCTTATTTCAACTAAGACACAAACACTAAACAGATGGAGGTGACCTCATGAAGGAAACTTCACATCCTCTCCGCTGAAGGGAAAAATGAGTTTGGCTCAGATTTTAATTTTTCATGAACTCATATGAAATGTCTGTCTTAAGTTAGGGAAGGAGTGCAGTAAAACCTGAATTTGAGACACGAACATGGCGCCTTGTAAAAGTATTTCTTTTCTCATTTTCTCACGTCACAACCAGAAACGTCAAGAGTATTTTTATTGAGATTTTAAGACAAAGTAGAGCAGAAGTGTGAAAATGAAGGTCGGTGATGGTAGGGTGGGGGGACCGTCATCCTGTGGGGGCGTTTTTGTTTGTCAGCGACAGAGACGCGAATCAGAGTTGACGTGATGATGGAAGGAGCTAAGAATACAAAAACAACCCTGAATGAAAACTTGAGTCAAAATGGTTTCAATCAAAGCTTTTTCAATAAATAAAGTATGCAGGTAAAACATGGCAAAATGTAAAAAAAAATTTAAAAAAAATCAAGAATGTGAATACTTTTTTAAGAATCTGTAGTTATAAAAGTTAAACTCTGTGGAGATAATTGAACTCCCAGCTCCTGTAACATCGGTGTGTTTTAGTTCTCCAGCTCAACAGAAATCTCTGCTTTCCCAGCCAGAAAACTACAAAGAAAACCAGAAATGTAAATTCCCAAGCTGCAATCCAAATAATATTTTTTATCCTCCCACTGAAGTAGGCTGTAAAACACCCAGCGTACGCTCTCATCTTGTTGTTAGTCGGCCGTAAAATAAAGTTTATGTGCGTTTTGAGATGTTTATAGACTCTCATCCATCCCTGCAACGCCTTCGGGGAGGAGTCTCCAAATCCTAATGGGGCGTGTCCAAAACATGACGCCGGGTTTCAAAGGAGGAAACTTCAGGAAAGAGATGGATTCCTGCGACAGATGGTGTGACCCCCCACCCCGCAGATGAGGAGCCGAACGTCATGGACCGAGTCTGGGATTACTGAACACGAAGGAAGGAACGACAGGAAGCTGAGACGGATCCTTAAGGAGGCTGTGCAAATACTTATTTATGAATGGATGGGTGTTTAAATATCTTCTTAAGGAACTTAAACACTTCCACATCTGGCTCCTGGTGGTTCATCTCAATTTTATGATCGATTACTCTTTTGGACTTTTATGCAGTTTAGTAGCTTGATACATTATCATTCCTGCTTTTTATGATAGGGCCGACTTGACTGTCAACAACTGAAGCTGAGGGTTTTGTGCTGTTGTTTCTGGATGGATGGATGGATGGACGGACGGACGGACGGACGGATGGACGGACGGGACTTTAAGAGAAGGAAATAAAGTAAATAAAAATATGAAAAAACAAAACCTCTTTTTTTCAATGCACTTATCTAGGGCTGAACAAATGAAATTACTTTCAGACTTTTCCGGGCTACATAGCAGCAGCCCCAATTGGCTGTTCTGTGCATCAAACAGGTTCCTATTTATTCAGTCAAGCTCGTCTGTGATTCACATCTTATTCATGTTTCCAGCAGGTGAAGGTCAAACAAAGTGGAGCAGATGGCGATAAGATGAGCGTCCTTTTGTCTGAGCTTTTCCTTAGGAGTAAAAGCGGAAACAAACAGGAAATAAAGTGGGAGAGAGCCACCGAGCAACAGCTACTCTGGAACAACAGGAATACCATAAGGCCAAAAGTTATGAGCACTTTTGTGCTTAAATCAAGCGCTAAAAGACTTTGAACTGAAGGAAGTGTCTCGTCTCCCAGCCAATCCTTTCACAGCAGTCTCATCCTCATGTTGAAGATGTTAAGAAGCCTAAGCGGAATAAAAGGAGGGAGACAAGGCTGTCAGCGGCGGCACACAAGGCCAATCTTTTGGGATTAAATCCTATTAGTGCAGAGTAGAAAGACTTAGAGTGGCTGCAAATGCCAACACTGATTCAGATTTAAGTCAAGTTTAAGTTTAAAAGAGATCTTAATCAATGCTGTTCATGATTTCTGAGAGTTCCTGGACATTTTCAAAGCAGATATCCAAGGAGACCGATCGACCTTTCGTGCGGAGTGGGCTGAAGCAACGAGGGAGTCGGACACCAATTATTTGCATCAAATGACCAGTATCTGCTGTGGAAATAGTTCCTTTAAGCAACAAACGTTTTCCCGTGCTCTATTGTTGTTTTTCTAGATTTCCCCAGACAGCAGCTGTTGGTGCTGGGATCCTACTTTCTGTCTGCAAACTGTTTGGGTTCAGGAGCCTTTCTGTCTGAGTGATTCATCACAGGCTGTACTTACACGACTTAAACAAGAGAGCACGTCTGGTTCTCCTAACGACCACCAGAAAACCTCAGAAACTGCTAATCTACACCGTTTCAAAAGAGCAGCAAAGAGCTAGTCTCCTTGGAAGCAAAACATCCATGCCTCCAAACTTCATGTCAAGTTGTTGCCTAATCCTCCCCCCATACTCAGCCAGCCGAGTTGGGAGCTCTGGGTTTGGACATGTTGGCCCGACATCATCTGCATCTCATCCACATTACAATCGATCTGCTTGTGGTCTGATTTTTTAGTTTTCCACTTCTCAGCCCAAATTGGCACAGATCTGCACCAACCACAGCCCACTAGAACCGCCGCTGGGTCTGATCTGGCCCCGGTTCTGGTGGGCTGCTGCCAGAATGAGGCAGACTTGTGGAAACAGTTGATTTTTCTACCTGGGGAATGTAATGACAAATGGATTACCGTTTACTGTGGGTCAGCAGCGGGAGTTAACCAGAGGCAGATGACCATGAAACACCCTGTTGGGGTTCAGAACAGGAAAGTCTGGTTTTTCTTGTCTGGTGTTCTCGCTCTCCAAACTCTCCAGATTTAAAACTAACAGTCATTAACACCGACGTGATCAGCCTCCCCCTGCTCCCCCTACATAACGTTACCTCTGCCGTAGCCCTGCGTGTGTTTGGCGAAGCTGCGGACCACCGCCTCCACCGCCTCCTTCAGCACCGCCGGGTTCCCCGGGTTGCAGTGGCCGCCGGCCGCCGGCCCCAGCCCGGCTCCCACTCCTCCGTACAGGCTGTGGAGCTGCAGCGGCGGCGGCGGAGGAGGAGGCCCGGACGAGGCGGACAACGAGGCCGGGGAGGGGAGGAGCGGCGCGACAGGGACCGTGACTCCGGGTCGGAGAGAGGAGGAGCGGAGGGTCCCCGTCGGTCCCGCTCCGAAACCGATCCCCGGCTGCAGCCTCTGAGGGCGGATACTGTCCGGGATCATGTTGGATTCCATTGTCCCCACGTAACGTCTGCTAAAGTCCGGCTTCCAGGAGGACGACGGTGCCGATGAAACCCACAGTCGGCACTGAAAATGCGGGATTTGAGGCGTTCGGGGGACAAAGTTCGGCGGGGTTCCTCCAGTCAGCCCTGAAATGAGAAGTTAGAGGTCGCAGAATCGACCCGGAGCGCCGCTCGGCATCCTCACTCTCTGGATTAGGCTGCCGGAGTGTCACTCAAAGACGCGTTCACGGACCCCTCCGACTTTTTGCATTCCTCGTTTCAGTTGACTTTGTTCTGTTTTGTTCCATATAAGAAATCAGACTGTTTTATTCCCCACAAGACTTTTTTGTTTGTTTGTTTTTCTGTTTTTGTTTTTTTAAGAACGAGTATCAAAATGAAAGTTCACTCCAAAAACACAAAATCTTTACTGAGTATTTTTGGTCGAGTTTCTAATGCACATATCTTAGCATGCGTGAAATAAGACAAAACCAATTTACAAGGAGATTGTTTTGTGTCAATAACTCCTTAATATCAATGAAAAATACTAGTCATTAGAAGGGGTGTCAAACTCATTTTCATTTTGGGCCAAATTAAGATAATCAATGTTCTTACAGGGCTGCTTGTGCCAGAATATATTGACAAAACCTGCTAACAAAACTGTTAATATATAAATAAATTCTTAAAATTAAACTATATTGTAAAATCTTTTCAGTCCCTCCAGGATTTTGCAATTGTTTTTGTCGTTTTTTACAATACAAATCAAAGTGTCTGAGGTACTAATTTAGAAATGTTTGTGCTTATGTATGACTTTTTATTGCCCGCAGTATCAATATTATGAATTATAACTTCCCATCAACAAAGGCTGAAGCAGCTGTTCAGTAGAAGAAATACCGCCACCTGCTGGTGGGAGTAAGCAGTCACTTAAGATCCAATGTTTTTTGTTTTTTTTTTACATATTTTTCCCAAAAAAGCTGCATCAAATTCACAATTATGTATTAACTTGGAAAAACTGCAGGAATTTGTTTATTACAAGTTATTTTTATTTTGTTTTTACTGCACTATCATATTTGCACTGGAAACAAGACCACTGATTACTTAAGATTTCAAATGAATACAATTCAGTTTTGTTTAGGTCACAACAAATGTCACCTAGAGACAAACAATTCCAGCTCATGAGCAGTTGTGCATTTTCATGATATTTTATTTTTTCTTAAATTTTGTTGCCATACTTGTTTCAGTTATTTGAAATATGTATTTACTCAACTGATCTTTGTCGATCCTGGCACTCGACAAACAAACTGTGATCCAGTTCAATCCAGATCTTCTACTCCAATCATAGAGCCAAGTTGAAATCCTAGCATCAAAACAGTGGATTTTGGGGTAAGTTGAGCACTAATGCCAATTCATAAACAATTATGTCCTCCTGAATTAAGACTTACACCTTTAGAAATATGTTTCTCTCCAACCTCGACTTTAAAATCCAATATGGTTGCTTTAAGTGTATACGCACGCGGTTTTATTTACAGCCGGACATCGGAGCAGACTGTCCTTCCTTTGTTTTCCACATACATTGTGCGAGAAAGCATCGAAAGATTTTTATGTCAGGCTTGAGGAGAAACCTCGACTTTTGTGAATGTCGTTCTCATCCAACCGTCTTTGGTCGTTTTCAATGTTTTCCGCGGCCCCTGAACGCAGCACCAGAGAGTCGGAGGAAAATCTCAGGCCAAGAAATCTGAGCCTCCCCTTGTTCTCCTCTGGCAGCAACTGTGAACAACCTACAGTGTGGCTTCGCGGCTCCGCAGCCCGAAGCATGTGATTAAACTGGGAAACAAAGCAACATGGTTTTACTCCATAAAGGTCAAAAATACTACAGGTTTCTTCTGCAAACCAATAAAATCTGTCTGAAGCAACTGGAGGTAACTGTGGACCACCTACTAGAAGAGGAAACAGGACCTCCACTTGTGCTTCCTACAAAAAAGAAGAAAAAAAAAAAAAGATTACAACGTTCTGCATCTTGGGTAATTATTCATCCTCTCAGTGGTTTGGGGAGAGGCCCAGAAGAGGAACAAGAGATTAAATCTTCTCCAAGATGCTCCAACATTAAAGGAAAGATTTCAACTCAGCTCTTAACACAAAACATTTTAGGTTTAAAACGAAGAAGCTACATCTCTGTTGTAACTCATCCAGTTTTCTTCAGGGAGTTGTAATAGGTGTTGCAGTGGTCTGTGTAGCAGCAGACCTGGAAAGGCCTCTGACTGAAGTCACCCATATAGAGAATATTCGGGGTTGTCCATAATTGCAAGCACTCAATGGTGTTTAGTTGAGGTTATGTTCGGTAAATTCACAGAAAGTTGTGCGAGATTGTGGAAAGAAAAAGAGCAGTTTTCCTAAACATCCCACAAACGAAAAAATCTTAAACATGTGGGGTGCAAGCACTTTAAATTCAGGCAAAATGAATCGCTCTCAGAAGTCAGCGTGTTGATGAATAAAGTCCAGCTGTGTGTAATTGAATCATGACACACCTCTCAGATCTTTAACGGACATTTATTTCATTTTATTTATTACAAAATGTGAAATCAGTTAAGAGTTGTGAATACATTTGAAATATTAACGTAGATTTACTGGAGAAGAGAAACCAAGCGTCAGCCGATCGTACAACCCCATCAGAAATAAATCATCTTCCTGTTGACACTAAACAATCTGTGGAAAACAGGACAAAGTTTTCATCACAAACGGACGCTGGTCCTGTTTCCACACAATATATCAGGACTTATCTCAGCGTGATAAACCTTTATGCTTTTTCCGACACGTGTTTGCTTGTGAGTCTCTCCAGGTCAAAGATGAGTCCAGAGCCCGGGACAAACTCAAGCCCTGATTTTAACGTCTTGTCATGATGACACCAATATCTCAGCTGATATAACTGCATCTTGTAGTGCTATTTTTTTTTTTTTTTATTTCTGGTCTGACCACCTCTTTTCTGTTCACGCTTTAATCAGGTCAAGGCCGCCTCACATGCCTTGCATTACAACCGAGGAGATCCTTCTGTCTCCAGAGCTCTTTAGGAGCTAATGTTTTCAAGAGACAAAAACAGCCGAAGCCTTTTCCACTTCCAACGACACAGCCAGGCATGCAGGAGTGGTGGTGAGCAGCCCCCCCCCAAAGCCCCTACCCAGACCCCATGAATAATATCAGGCTGCAAACATGCTCCTCGTTCCCACATCTGGTTTCAATCAAAGCAGAAATCAGATTCTTGAAACTTCACCACATTTCTTTTTCTTTTCTCCCCCCCAACAGAAGAATAGGAGCTCAAGATGGTTGGGGTACTATAACAGCTTGCGCTGTGTGGGCCTTTCTCACATAATTTGATCTGAACACGAGTTGATTTTCTTTAAACCTGTAGCGTGAGTGGAGAACAGCCAACAGCAGCTATGGGACAGTAAAGATCGGTTTGTCGTAATTCAGATGTAAGAATCTTACATCAGAATCTGTGAGATTATTTTAACTGTAAACACTTTGTGGAAACCAAGAGGAGGCTGATGGATTTGTAAACGTCTGGTAGGTTAATTTGCAGTATTTGAGTTCAGTGGAAGCGTTTTTGGCAACGCTTTCCTGTGAGATCATCATGGGAAAATAATCAAAAGGAATCAGCCAAGATATGAAGATGAGGTTGTGGATTTCCAAAAGTCTGGTTCATCGCCGCGTTCAATTTCCAGATGTCTGAAGGTGTCATGATGATTTGTTTAAGTAACTCTAAACAAGTGTACACAGCATGGGGATGTCCAGCTATTACAACACTCCGAATGGAGGCGGCGTCTGTGTCCGAGAGATGAACATTTTTTGATGTGAACTTTGAGAATCAACACCCGAATAAAAAAGCATCTTGTGAAAACGCCACCTTAAAGCTGTGTGTGATAGATGAGCTATTCATTAAATTCACTGGTGACCTATTACTCAATTTCCTTATTGAAGCTATGAATCAATGATAAAAAAAAAGTATCTTCTTTGTGCCAAAAGGTCAAAAGTCTGCAAACCCATGCAATGGTTAAAGTGGAAAATGATCTGCAGCTGTTTACAACTGAATTAGGCCGCTATGGCCATAAGTCACCACAAGGGGGTTCTCCATCCCAATCTCTAAAGCTCTAAATGCTAGAGTATATATATATATATATATATATATATATATATATATATATATATATATATATATATATATATATATATATATATATATATATATAGTGACTAGTTTAGTCAACGAATTTATTCAGGTTTGACTTAACTTTTACTTCATTTTCTCCACAATCAATTCATTTTAGCACATTAATCTAAAAATATATATAAAAGGGTTTTTTCCAGAATTCAAATGTTTTCTGGTAAAAACATTTGAATTCAAAGTAGTTTTTCTTTTGTTTTGTAACCGAGCCAAGGGAACTTTACAGCTCGACAAAATCAACACAGCGTCAGAGAAGCACAAAATAAAAAACGAGATATTCTGTCACTTATCAGAGAAGTTTCCAAAGTGTCCGTACATTCTCCCTGATGATTCTGGGTTGAATTTAATCTAATATAAGATAAGACTTGTGCAGAATGTTACTCAGCACAGGGACTGCTGGACTTCTGGTCCATTTTGGCCGGGCTTGGCACACTTTGCAGGAAGAGTCAGAACTGAGAGTACCCAGTTTCCTCTTTATCCGTTTATGTCATCCAATCAGCTTCACAGGGCGAGGGAGCCGCATCGGGACGCCGCGATATAATAGGTGTGAGAGTCCAGCAGAGAGGCACCATCTGGTCCAAACACCAGCAGAACAGGTGAGTCTCACTTCTCCTCCTTTAACTTTTTGCTACTATGATACAAATATATATGTATAGATTTTTTCACGTTTAGGTGTTGCAGCAATGAAGATTTAAATTCCCCCATTCGGTCTCATTAGATATTTCTCAGAGCTTTTTGGAAAGAAGGATACATGTTCTCCTAAAGGAGCTGTGCAGGTTTAAAGCTAAAATCTATTTTGTGTGGGGGTTTTTTTTAATAGAACTTTTAGGGTCACACCATCAAACTCAAACAAAACATGGGAACCACAAACCTCTGCAAAACTTTTGTTTACAAGTTTGAGTAAGACGCGTCTCAAAATATTTGTCTTGCAGCTGTGAGGCAAGAAACCCGACGGACATTTCAGGGAGGTTTTGTCCGTGACTCGTCTGACTAAAGCCACAAGAATCTTTTCTTGACACAGGCTTGTCTAAAGGTAAACACTTAGTGTTGCTTTTAAATTTATACTTCCTGGAGGTTCACAGAGAACTTGCACAGTATTACAAATACAGCAGAAGATGGCTTCTTTATGCAACATGCAGACGCTTACAGACTTTACAGTTTGATATCAAAGCTGACCAAAATGTTCCCTTTCAGGTTAGCCAAGATTACCAACATGATTTAAATGCCAGAATAATTCAACATTAGAAGTTCCTTAGCATTTGGTAAACTGACTCAAAACAGGAACGTTTTAATCTGATTTCATGTCTGTGAGGAATTAAATGTTTTTTGTGGTTTCACCCAAAGGCGTGTATACAGTTATTTGTTGCTAAAACCGCAGACATGCTATTCTAATTTATGGTGTTTGGGTTTTTTTAATTCTAGGTCTAATCAAATCAGCAGCCATGAAACAGTTTCAGGTTGCAGTCCTCCTTGCTCTTACTCTGACACATGGTAAATATCAGTTTTTCATATTTAGAAATACTTCGCCCTCCATATTTATTGGCACTACTGTTAAAGATGTGGTTAAATCAAAGTCAAGAAATAGCAACATAATTCTTCTGAAACAAATGTGAGCATCCCTGGGGTGAAGCTATTTTGTGCAGGTTCATTAGTGACAGATGATTCAACTGCTTTTCAAAAACTGAAACACAGTTCTTTTGGGGGGTTTTCTAACCAAAATGTGCTTTTGGGGAGTGTGAGTAGCTGAAGGACGATGCAAAATAAAGAGGGGACATTGATAAAAAAATAAAAGTCTTACTTTCTGGCTCTCTTCTGCAGGAAGCTTTGCTGAAGATGGAGTCAGTCGGATGAGACAGTACATCGAGAACATGAAGGCTAAAATCAGTCAAGACATTCATGAGTTTGTGAACAAGCCAGAGCTGAAGGAACACACCGAGTGAGTAAAAACAATCCGACCCGTCACCTCATAACTTATGCCAAATACTGAACGTGTTAGATTTGCATTTAATCTGTTGAACATTATTATTCCTCCCTGAACCAAAATGTAAGACAGGCGCAGATCTTCTTTGCGAGTGATCACTAATTTACCTGGGACACATTTCTTCATTCGTTGTGCGATAATTAAGCTCCGGCAAACCGCAAAAATGATGCTCTGTTCATGTCTCAGGTTGTTCGTGGAGGACAAACAAACGGAGCTTGAGCTCCTGGGCGTGAAGATCCAGGATCAGCTGCGGGACATGGAGGATGGTTTCAAACCCCTGACTGAAACCATGAAGGACAAAGTGGACCCGTTAATCGCCGGCGTGCAGCAAAAGATGGAGTCCGTCCTGCAGATGCTGGAGGAGCACGTCAACCACAGCAGGCAAAAAAACCCGACTGATCAACACCTTTCTCATCACAGGCGTTGAATTGTATCAGGCACATTTATGATCCTATTGACACATTTAAAACTATTAAAAAAGTATGAAACATTACTTCTACATGTGTATTTTGTGGATTCTATTAACGATTTCTCTGATCTGCTTCGCAAAACGGGGAAGACAAGAGAACATAGCAGGTGGATTACTTTAGAACTTTTATTCAAGCAAGCAAAAAGTAAAGGGAACTTTCACAATAACAGGCTTCGGAAGCTCAAACGTTCAAACATTTAAAAGGGGTAAAATAGCAGAAAAGAATGCTTCCACTTACATTTCTCGTATATTTCTCCTCTAAAATGTCTCAAACTGATTATTTTTTGTTTTTAGGTTTTTTTTTCCTCTTTTTTTGCTTTTTTTTTTAGCTCGGAAAAGCAGGCCTGGTGTTACAGGACTGGCTGGAGACTTGTTTCCATCGTTTGCTTTTTTTTTTAAACTTTGTATTTAACATCTTTTACTTTGTTTTGCTTATTTTTTAAACATTTTTTTTTTAAACCCTTCTGTGCGTGACGCTCGTCTCAAGGCTGCCGTCTCCTGTGGAGGAGGGAGAACGATTTGCAGTTAGACCCATAAAGCGTTCAGCATGAGAGCAGCGACAAATCTTAGACGTGTACCTTGGGCTCAAACACTTGGGACAACAGCTGAGTTAGTCACAGTCTTCTGAGCGGCCTCCTTGGCCTGATGCGCCTGCAGCACAGCCACAGCCTCATCCACCTGCACAGATATTTGTGTTTGACATCAGTGAAACCCCAGCAGCACGATCCTATTTTATAGAGTGACTTATATGTAGCAACACAAACGTAATTGTAAACTTTTTTCCAGTTTTTCCTATTATTTTCCTTCAAGTTGATACTTTAACTCAACCTCTGTATTGTAGCTCTGGCTGGATGTTTAAACTAGTTGAGCTGCTGGAAGATAAACTTGCCGCCGTCTTTTACATGTTTTCTTCCAGGTCGTATTTAGACTTCAAGAAAACAGAAGCCCATAAAAACTATGCATCTTCTGTGTTGCTACGTCAAGTAAAATCGTAACAAAATCCATAAAGAATTTGTGCCTTAAAAGTAGGACGAAATTAAACTTTCTTAAAGGAAATTAATACTTTTGCAACTCTCATATTTATGATGATTATGTCACAGCAGTGAAGTTCTGTTGAAAACAGCTGTTTGTATCAGAAAACCTATGCAGTTTACCTTGGAGCGGAGAGACTCTGGGGACTCCAGCATGTGAAGCAGCTCTGAGTTGTCGATCTCCAGCAGCATGCCAGTAATCTTGCCTGCCAGGCTGGCATGCATGTTCTGGATCAGTGGGAACAGACGCTCACCTATGAGAGAGACGGAGAGGGTTTAGAAACAAAGGCCATTAACCCCCGGTGATACTCTGGGACGTGTTTAGCACGTAGAAACGACAGCATCCGCTTTGAATGCCGTCAGTAAAGCCCACCCAGCATCTGCTTCTGTTCCTGCGGCGGAGCGGCGGCCAGCATGGAGGCGGTCAGAGGCTCCTGTCCCTGAACATGGACCGCAGGCTGAGTGGTGAGAGACACACGGTTATCACAGGCATAGCTGTACTCTCCACTGTCACTACAGAGATGGCAGCAGCCTTACCTGCTGCAGATTGACCTGTGGCTGGGAGGAGATGTGCTGCTGAGGGTTGCGGACTCCTGCGGCGTACTTGTACTGAGGAACTCCACGCACTGGAGCAGTTGTTGCTGTGGCTGCGGCAGGCGGTCGGGGAGCCACGGTCTGAGTAGCTGCAGGAGGAGCCAAACAGAGAGAATCAGTAAGATACTGAACATGAGCAGAAATATTACCAAACGGGTTTGTGCCGACTAGACTGACCGACGCGTTGGGTGGACATCATGCGAGGGACCTGATTTGTGGGCCGCAAGGTGCTGAAGGTCTGAGGGCGTGGCGCTGACGCACGCATGGCACCGGTCATGTTCTGAAAGTCTGAGAGACACAACCACGATTAGCGAACCGTGAGACAGACAATCGGGCCCAGGTAAGGTTTTTTTGAAAACGCTCACGTTGAGGTCGGACCCCCTGGGTCGTCCAGCGTGGGCTCGGCCGCAGCTGAGCCATCTGGCCCGCAGCGGGGTAGTAGGCGGCGCGGTTCTGTGCCTGAGGTATGGCAGCCATGAAGTAGCCAGAGGGCGGGGCCGGCTGATAGGGGTTGATGACGGGATTTGGCACGGCGCGGACGCTGGCCATGCGCTGCATGTACTGGTTGGTCAGGTGGGCTTGGCGCTCCTCTTTCCTCTGAGCCAGAGCCACGTACAGCGGCTTGGTGGCCACGATGCGCCCGTTCATCTCTGTCACGGCTTTGGTCGCCTCCTCCGGGGACGAGAAGCAGACAAAACCGAAGCCTTTGCTGCGGCCGCCTTCCATCATGACCTAGTAGAGAAAGAATCAAACGTGAATCTCCGGAAGAGATCCTCAGCTCATTTCAGTTTTGAGGAGAAAGGTTAAAGGTCGAACCTTGGCACTGGTTATGGTGCCGAATGGGGAGAACTCCTTCCGCAGGCGTTCATCATCAATCCCATCATCAAGGTTTTTAACATACAAGTTGACACCCTGTCAATAAAAGCAAATATTTTGAAAACAAAAGCAGTTCAGCAATAATAAACAACAGGTTGAATGTAAAATTCCTGTCTGCAGCACATCTTTGTCCCCAAAACCCAAGGTAAAGGGAAGTGGGGCCCATGAGCTGAAGAGTTGCTGTTGCAGCCATTTTGGCCAGTGGACCCAACTGCAGAGGGAGCACTGAATTTGACAAAGCTGCAGTTTCTTTCCGTGAGTAAGACGGCATCTGATCCTGGAAGTGTTTATGCTCACCTGGTAGCGAGTCATACGGTCTTGTTTCATCTGCTCAAATTTGCGCTTCAGCTCCGTCTGTCGTTCCACCTTTTTCTGAGCGCGGCCGACGTAGATGGGCTTCCCATTCAGGTCCTTTCCGTTCATTTCATCCACTGCCTGATATTAGAAAAAATGTGGCAAAAATTACATAAAAAAAAAAAAGGATCCAGCTGCGTGCGGTTACTATACCATGTTCCAAATTATTATGCATAATTGGATTTAAATGTCACAAAGATTTTATTTTTTGTTGTGCTATTAAATTTATAGAGGGTATTGTGTGAAAGGTATGAAAACATTTCATATTTAATGAAAGCTGAAGCGATATCATTGTACCGTGAAGAGATTTGTAGCTGGTTCAGAACAAAGATGGGTTTGTACAGATAAAGGCATAATGAGGAAGGTTTCTATTAGACAAGTTCATCGGATTAAGAGAGCTGTTGTTTAAATGCCCTTACAAAACAGCAAACAGTTATTTGATCTGCTGGAGCCTCTGGAACCTCAAGGTGGAGGATCCTCCAGAGGCTTGCGGCGCATGAACCGACTATTTGGCCACCCCTAACCAGAGATCACAAGCAGAAACGGTTGCAGAGGGCCCAAGTGTAATGAAGATTCATTTTCAAACAGACTTGTTCACTGATGACTGCTGTGCAACCCTGGATGGTCCAGATGGACGCAGTAGTGGATTGGTGGTGGATGGCCACCACGTCCCAACAGGGTTGTGACGTCAGCAAGGAGGAGGCGGAGTCATTTTTTGAGCCAAAATTATGGGGAGAGAATCATTTTGGACGGCCCCTTCAGAGTCCCTGAAGGTGTGAAAATGACCTCAGCAAAGTATATGGACTTTCTGACTGATCACTTTCTTTCATGGTTCAAAAAGAAGATCCGTACCTTCAGTAGCAAAATCATGCATGACAATGCACCATCTCATGCTGCAAGGAATACCACTGTGTCATTGGCTGCTATGGGCATAAAAGGGGAGAAACTCATGGTGTGGTCACCATCCTCCTCTGACCTCTGACCCTATTGAGAACCTTTGGAGTTTCCTCAAGCAGAAGATCTGAGGGTGGAATGCAGCTCATATCAAAACAGCAGCTCTGGGGAGATATTCTGCAGAAACTATCCACAAACTCACAAGTTCAATGGATGCAAGAATTGTGCAGGTGATATCAAAGGACTCCTGTGTTAACATGTAACTGTGATTGTCGAGATGTTTTTGATTGAAATGTACATGATTTTGATTTTAGTACATGTGACCACTTAATGCTGCACATTTAAAAAATGACTGCAGTTCTTTCCATAAAATGTTTAGAAAATTGGCTGTGCATAATAATTTGGAACAGTGTATTTTGAGTTTTCTGTTTTTGGAAAAAATGCTGGTCTCATGGGGAGCTTTTTTCAGTAATGTTTGATTTATAATTTTCAAGTCATAGTTCATGACTTGAAAATTAGACTGACCATCATTGGCATCAACCATTTAAGAAAATATCACTTGCATAATAATTTGGAACGCGGTATAAAAACAAGAGTCGTGTTTGTCTCAAGTCAAACCTTCTGCGCGTCTTCGTGTCTTTCAAAGCTGACGAAGCCAAAGCCTCTGGACTTTCCGCTGTCATCTGTCATGACCCGGGTACTCAGCGCATTTCCTGAGCAGCAAACGCAATAAGGTTGTCGACCAAAACTCCTGTATTCTCAGTAGCATCTTCAAAGAGCAGTTAGAAAACTGGACTGACCGTATTTACTGAAGAGCTCTCTCAATTTCTCGTCGTCCATATCGTCACCAAAGTTTTTGATGTAAACATTAGTAAACTCTTTTGCCCGGGCGCCCAACTCAGCCTCGCGCTCCTTACGAGATTTGAAACGGCCAACGAACCTATGGGGGGGGAAAAATATATTTAGAGGAACTAACTAAATGTTGGTCTGTTGATGAAATTAAATCATATTTCCAACATAGTGGAATCAAGACAGTTGTCTCTCGACCGCCTGCTTTTTGTGGTCAATAAAGCTCCTGGCACAGTTCTGGCTGAATATTTACAAACAGGACTGAAACCAAAGAACACTGTACCAGCTGTGAAGCATGGTAGTGGCAGCGGTATGCTGAGGGTCCATGGCTCTGGTTGGAATAATGAGGACAATATTCAAACCTCCTTTCCATTTTGCCTTAAAAATGAGTGATCAAAAGAGACGGAAATTCAAACATGGATCAAA